CCGTCCGGGCCTTGCAGGGGACTGCTTCTCGTGCTAATGGGGCTGCGTCAGGTACCGCGCTAGCTCATACTGGGTTTCCTCTACATTCAGGAAGCCAGCATTCTAGGGGTGATGGACGGTACTGAGAACCTTGTCTGGGCATGCGGGCTACAGAGACCCACCCCTGACGCCTTTGTACCCGCGCATGCTCATCGCTCCTGCTCTCTCGCACTTGCACTTGCTTGCTCGTCCGTCTGGGCTCTTCTCGTCGCCGGTGGGCAGGGCCCTCTCTCGTCCATCACCCTCCCAGACCGTGACCGGTCGAGAGCCCGTGGCGAGAGGCGCCCTCTCTGCGAACCGCTCCGTCTCCATATCCAGTACCCTGCACCTTCCATGATCAAGGTCTGTCCTCGGCCGACTTGAGAGGAGCGGGCATCAACAGTAGACGGGACATGCTTCTGCCGACTCATCGACCTCGTCTCCAGGCCCGCCGTGGAGGAAAGGCATCGCATGCCTCCATCACCATCTACCAGAATGTAGTCAGCGACACTCGAGTGCCTGGCCTTCTCGCCCTTTTTGCCTTCTTCCTTTCTCACGACAGCTCGCCATCATTCCGATCGAAGAAAAGAGCCCGATGCCTACCGACAGTAGGTACATGTAGACCCCGTGTATGGCCTGTGTCGCCCCGGACCAGGGACCAGGCTTGCCAGGCCAGGCATTTCATTCCACTGGCATCCATGGATGACGCTCAAGGCCCGGACGTGCACGCGCAAATCGAGTCTTGGTGCTGTGGCGGGCCGACAGGGATGTGTGGCCCGCATCGCCCTCCTCTTCCTAGTACCCACGCCTGCACTTTGTCGTTGACTTCACCTGGCGGATGTCATAGTTGACCAGGCCACCGCCCACCGCGAAATCGGTTTGATCCCGTGTCTTCCAATGTCTCGTCGCTTTCGTGTGCTGTGTAGCATCTTTGGAAGACGGAGAACGAGACTGCCCACATGTATATAGGTGTCAGCGTCGAGAAAGGGTTGTCTCGACTTTCTTTTCGTTCGAATCGAGGCTCCCCCGCCCCCTTCCCCAATCCGCAGCGCCCATCGCGCCGTATCGCGTCGATCCGCCTCTTCTGTTCATCTCCCTTTGGCACCCTTGCCGCGCACCATCTGGTGTAGAGCTTTCCCCCCATTTCCCATTTCCACAACACGCTATCCCATTCCGTCACCTATCGACTGTCGCCTGGTGCATTTTGGCATGACACGTCTGAGGATCAGGCAACACACACACCTTTCCATCAACGGCCGCATGGAGGGTGCCGTTCACCCAATCTGAGTTACCTCTGCACCGAGCTTCCCACTTCCAAGGGGCGTCGTGTTCGTCGGACCGCTGGCCTTTCCTAGGAATGTTATTCCGATCAGTGCTAGGAGTAAACCGACAGGACCTGCAGCGGGTGGATGCCTTTGCAGGACCTTAAGGGGCTGATCAGGGCGTCAACCACAGTTTGACATGAACTTTTTGGTTGGGAACCACCACCACCAAAGGCCAAAAAAAGAATAAAGGCCGGAGGATGGAGCCATCGAGTGGGCGTTTGGAGTTCGCAGCCCCCGTGGCGGCCCGCTTGTCCACCGCCACCTCATCTGCCCTTTTCTCTGGCGATGTTTTCACCCCTAGCTTGATTCGCAATATCGGGCGACCAGACCACAGGCATTATCACGCAACATCAAAATCGCTCCGAGTGTTCAACGATCGACTTTGATCGTCATTCATATCTCGTCCCTTGTTTCTCAGCATGCCCTCTATCAGCCTCGAAAAGGTTACTTTCACACGCATGAGGTGGGACTCGATCGTCGAGGGCTGCCAATGGTTCCATGCACCTTCAATGGATACTCGTCCACGTCGCATGTTCTGCCCATGTAATGTCGCCGCGTCTTGATGTCTGAAGGGCATAGGTCAAATCCTCTGGAAGCCTGGCATGATATCTTTACCCTCGCTCATGGGCAACGGCCGAACAGCATGCGCCTTCAGGTTCACGATACGGATTCATTCTTGACCACGTGCAGTCCATCTCCTATCCCTCCCCGTTCCATACATATGTCTGGTTGTGGAGGATTTGACCTTTCGCCAGCGTTGTGTTGAAAGTGCAGACGGTCGTGGCGCAGATTTCTGTCAGGCAAGTTTTCATTATTTGGGGCTTGGCCGAGCTAGCAGACGTCGCCTGTCATGCGGGGGATTGGTGCTCCACGCCACGCCAGCATCCCAGTATACACAGCGCGTCGTTGCAAAGAAAAAAGCGGCCCGGCATCGCTAGATCAAGAATCGTGGATGATAGCATCACCACCGCCACAGTCGCATCGAGAATTTGCCTGGGCACCCTGTCCTCGATTCACCAGTGGAAGACTTGGACAACAACAAGCCCAAGCATGGAGGCAATGTCGGGGCAGGCAGGACAAGACAATGCTCCAGTTGTTTCAGAGGTCAAACCGCCGGAACGAAAAGTGGGTCCATAACGACGACCACCTTTAACCACCTACCAGGAAACGATCTTGGCTGGTCCAGGAGACTACCACGACCTCTGTTGTTGGAGACTTGGTTTGCAAGGAGGGTCAAATTCAGTAGACTATAAGGTACTTCGCGCATGGCCATTGATCATAGCACATCCTCCTGCCCGCCAACCTTTTGGCGGTGTCGTGCTTCCACCAGGCGGGTCAATTGTCGCATGACAGCAGGCGATTGATTGATTGGGTAGATTCGAACCCCAAGCAGAGAAGGGGGCATTTGTGTTGCCTTTCAGTGCCCAACGATCAAATGGGTGGCACGGGCAACAGGAATCGCGCCTATACTTGTCTTGTCTTGATGCCCAGGAACTCGTGGTCTCTCCCCGCACACACAACATACAACATAGCCCACGCGACAACTTGAAGTATCTTGTTGGGCCGAGCAGCGTCCTGGAGCTTGGAAAAGTCAAACAGAAGGTGGGTTGTGCACTGGAGCGCCTGTCGAAGCCTCCAAACTAGGCATCTACATAGCCCAGATGCGATTCGCGTTCCTCCAATAGTTATGTCGACAGCGCATTTGGGGCTGGTCTCGATAAACTCGCCTGTTGCTTCTCATGTCGGTCCGTCACCACGAAGCCCTCGTTTCCTGTATAGCGCGTAAGCCCCAAGAGGCGTGCTGAAGGCCGATGCCTTGGCTGAGAGACAGTGGTTTTCCAAAACAGGTCGCTTGCTCAACCAATAAGGCAACACATGATTAGGTTGCATCTCAGTTGGCGTGCATCTGACTCTCGCCAAGTCAGTCAGTAATAAAGTGTCGGTCGCATGGATCAGACACTGGCCTCGTTCAGTCCGGTATTCGCCTACTCTTCAGCGAATTTGACACCAGTCGACTCCGCGTCGCTTCTGAAAATGACGAATGGCCAAAGGGGCAGGGAATTTGCCGGACGGCTGGCCCTGTCTCGTTTGTGCGTAGACACAGGGAAATCCAGGCCGCCGGCCGCCGGAAGGTTGGTGGCGATTAACTCGATTCCCTGCCTCTCCACTCGCCCGCCCCCAACCCTTTCCCCGCCGACCCGCGCACATAATCAACATCAACGTGATAGGGGACTAGGGGCTCGGAGACCAGGACGCTGATGTAAGAGCGTAATTGGGATGTTGGCTTGCAAGTAGACTTCTCGCAAATCGTCTGTCGTTGGCCATGGTGGGGTGACCGCTCGGCGGCGCCGTTCAAACTATTGTGACAAGCGCACACGTCTAGGCCTAAACATCTCCGAGTCTACCGCCTTCTTGGCCGATTGGGCTGGCCTCCGAGAGAGCTACATGGTGTACTGATGATTGTCGCTTGATGAGATGCATTTGGAACCCTAAAGACCTCGAAAAGCCAGGTCGGCCATATCGCAAAATCAGCAATGATGTGTCGTCAGGTTCGGCGCAGCCTAGCGATGACCACGTCACGAGCGTGCTGTCCGTCAACTTCTGATGTGAGGGCAGATGGAAACCCACACACGAACGCTGCACGCAGCCTAGCCGCCGCAGGGGGGGGGTTGTCAGACGGTAAGTAGCGCTGTGACGCGTTCTCCCTTCACTGTTGATGGGCTGGAGAGTTGGGTTCAAGCCTACTGCTCCGTTGTCCATTTCCCGATGCGTTGGGCCGACCGACGGGGGGACGGGGGGGGCGGGTTGTCATCAGTTGGGTCAGCCGTAACATGGGGCTTGTCTCGACCCGCCTGCTGAACGAGGCTCGCAGCGACGAGAGAGAGAGCAAGAATACATGTACACTACAGCCTGCCTGCCGAAAATGCATCGCCGAATTTGACGTCCTCCCTGCGACTTGAAGCAGGGGGGAGGAAGCGGGCATGCATCGATGGAACTCATCAGCCAACCTTTTTTTCTTTCCCGCTTTCCCAGCGATGCCGCAAGAGTCATGCGTGCGATGCGTGGACGGTTGCGAGGTGTCGTCCAAAAATGCAGCCGACGGGGGTTGGGGGTCGAGGCGTGCCCCCGTCCGCCCAAGGCCAACGGGACGTTGTCAATCCCTGTCCCATGGCAGGGTACCTCGCAGGGCGGCCAGTGCCTGCGATTCGGGTTCCGGGTTTTACCACAGCTTGCGTGCCGCCCCGGTTAGGACTAGCGTATTGACCACGATGGCCAAGGCTCAGCTCAGCCACACCTCACTCAAAGTCTCATAAGCGACACTTTGTGCATCGGGTGTGCACAACGACAAGTAAAGTCACTACCCCCAAAAACGGTGCGCATCATGTACCGTTTCGAGATGAGGATCACAGAGTCAGGCGCAGCAGAGCACGGAGAGTAGGAACCAATACCGCAATAGAATGAGTATTTGCGTACAGGACGCATCGCAACTACCACGGGCAAAGGGGCACGGTAGGACCGTTCGACGAGCAGTTGGCACCGAGGTGGTCGTCAAGGTAGATGTCCACTCTCTCTTGGAGTCACGCAATGACTTGGGTGCCCAACGCTCCTTGCGCACGATCCAAGCCGGGGCTCGGGTACATCATTCGTTCGACGCAATCAGGAGCGCCGGATCATGGCCTCACGCTCGGGACCAGTGCCAATGTACTTGATCTGCGGAACGTTAGCAACTGCGGGATTGGTCAGTAGGTGCGCCCACGTACCTCGACGCCCACAAACTTCTCGATGTACTGCTAGAGGTCAGCACCATTGTTCGCTATACGAGCCCGGTTAAAGTGCCTACCTCCACGTAGTCGCGAGCCTTCTTGGGCAGATCGACGTAGGTCTTCGCGTTGGTAGTCGGTGTCTGCCACCCCGGCATCTCATGGTAAACCACCTCGGCTCGTTCCAAGATCTCAAGATCCGCAGGGTAAGAGTCCAATTCCTGTCCAGACGGTCAGTGTTACGATCATCTAGAATGATCTCGTTGGCATCGCTTGCCTGTCCGTCGACCTTGTAGGCGATCGCGATCTTGATCGTCTCGAATGTGTCCAAAACGTCGAGCTATGAAGTGTTAGAGAGTATTCTCATACATGTAGGAAGCATGACAGGCCTACCTTTGTCAGGTTCAGGCTGGTGTAGTAGTTGATGGAGTTGCTGTACTTGACAACAACAAGATCTGTTTGTCCTTGTTAGTTGCACACCCAATCCTGTCAATCCCTGAGGTTGTCCGGGTTGTGCGTACCGAGCCTAAAGGCAGTTAGTAAGTTGATCAGTCACTAAACGCCATGGATTGAAGCTCACCATCCGCATCGGCGTCTGCGGCCAGTCGACGTGCCCTATGTCTTGTCAGCGGTGGAAGGCCGAATCCTCTGGGGTGCATATAGCCTCACCCATTCGCGTCCAATCTCCTGAAGCTTGTTGCCAACCCTAAAGTTTTCAATTAGTCTACAATGGCTTTGGGAACGCGATGAAGACATACTCTTCCGTATCTTCAGTCTTGAAGGCGCCCCAACCGACACGGGTAGTGTCTGTTGCTAGTCAGCAAGGGAAAAGAGCCGGAGAGCAATCAACCTACAAGCCTTGACGACTCCGACCGTCTCTGTAATGTTCTTCGGGTTCAGGGTAAGTCCACCAATGATGCCAGCAAGCGTGGTACTTGACGAAGTAACGAACTGTCATTGATTATAAGCATCGGTGCAAAACGCGCAACGAAGTTATCGCAGACTTACTGGGTACGAGCCATAATCGACATCGAGCATGAGTGCCTATTGAAGTAAGCACTGTTCGTGTAGCGTTGGGCGCGAGAACATTACGTTTGCGCCTTCGACCACAATCTTGGTGTCGCTCTGTTGCGCGGATGTCATGAAGGCCACGCCGTCCACGACGTATTTCCTCATCGTCTCCCTGTATTCTTCAAAACGAGCAAGCTCGGCTTTGATGTCGTACTTGAATAGATCTCCAAAGCGCTTTTGGTAACCATCAGCGAGGCGCTGCACCTTCTTCTCGAAAAGTTCAGGATGGAAGATGTCAGTTAGTTTGATGCCGTTACGCTGCGAAAATTAGCGCACGTTGCGATCCCTCGTCAAGCCAAGTTCTTACCGCCCTGCTTGTTTGGTAGCATGGACCAATGCCTACATGAGACGTTAGACCCAATTAGTTCAACGGAATCGCCAGCCGTGCTGTTCATGTATGAGAATGCTAGTAAGGGGCAAAGGCGCAGAAAGGCATAATGCAGCATGAGGTTCTATGGGTACAGTACCGCGTCTTGTTGTTCCGATGGCTGCGTCTGAGGTTTTCGTTAGCTGCTGCTCCTCGAGAGAGCATGTCATCCATGGGACGAACCTCCGAGCTCCTGCTCCTCGAGACCATCGACTGCCATGTGCATGTCCAAGAGGACATTGACCCTGTCAGAAACAAGGATTCGATCATGCACCGCGGTCAGGCCCTCTGAGCTATGTTAGACATTCTGATGCACCAGAAACTGTGATTTCGTGCAACGTACTCTCTTCAAGCTCCTTGAGCTCGCTGAAGAAGGTTGGGCTGGAGGGACCGAGTCAGTCTTGTTGGCCTGTTTATTTGAGGGGCGCGAGCCAGGCGAGACATCAATAAGATGCCTATCTGCCGATCCATCGGCCCACAGTCGGAGGTTTTGGGATGACGCACATGTGAAAGACCACACCGGAGCCGATGAAGTTCATGCACCGCGGATTCATGAGGCCGGAGGGCAAGAGGTGGAAGCTTGTACAAGTCAGTAGCCACCCACAGCTTCGGCGCCGGCCCGTTCTTTACCTGTAGGAGACTCCATCCACCCTTTGACTCGTTAGCAAATAACAACTGTACCAATTGATCTACTGAGGGCTTTCAACGAACTTGATCAAGTGACCTGAAACCGTCCTACCAGTCAGCGCTGGCCTCCCATTGAGGCTGCTTTAGAGAACCGCCTCGCGACATATAGACTGACCTGCGTTGGATCCGCCCTTGGGGGTCGTTAGCAGGTATTCCACCCGGAGACGGCCGTTTGTGAAGGGATCATGGAAGCCGTCGGCGGGATTGTTGCCTTCGTTGAACTTACAGCAGCTCGGCAACAGAGGTGCGCCTCCCGGGCCTGGATATCAACCAGCTTTCCCTTCTGAACACACAGGATCGTTAATTGCCGGATGTCGGACCAAATTGGGTTCGAATCGAGGACTTACGCCTTCGTCACCTATGAGGTCATCGTCAGTGTCATGAGAGCCAACCGATATCGGCCAGGCGCAAAGGAAGGATGTATTCCAGGCAAGGCAGGCAAGGAAGACCTACCCCATTGGGCCCCGAGAATGACATTGATAGTCATTTTGCGTGATATCGAGATTGATTGTCGTTGGTGCCGTCGTTGTGGTCGAAGTGAACAAAAGACGATATGCAATCAGATTTTAATGGACGCGGCTGCTGAGATGAGCGATTTCAGTCTTCGTGCGAATACGCTTTTCGGGTATATGTAAATACCCCTAGTGCTTACTAAAACCATACCCGTTTAAGCCCGTTGAGTGGTAGTTTCAAAGGCTTAGTTACATAACAGAGTCATCCCCAGTAATAAGAGTCATCATTCAAATGTCACCGGAAGCTTCGTAGCGTTCCTGATTTTGCCGAGGAGACGCGATCGCATCAACACGTCAAAACGTCGGAAGTTACTGTGGCGCAAAACGGCACAGTCTATGGGATTGTGTCTAGAGAAACGGTGCGTGCGTCGCACAATCTGGTACCCGCTGGGTGCTGTGAAGGGTACGCTGGCGCTACATGCCATGACAAGTAAGCCCAGCACGATCGGGCGAGGGACCGGGGCGAGGACGGGTCTGCGGACGTCGTGTCCTTCACCGTAATATGACCAAACCGAGGATAGACTTTATGCTGATATTTATGCAAGAGTGGGTGGCTAGGTTGTGCATGCTGAGCCACCAACCTCAACTCAGGGTCGGCTCAGGCTAAAAGCAGCAAGGCTCCGGAGTGCATCCAGGTACGTACCTCCCTGGTTCGAATGGGGCCTGGGAATCCCCATCTCCAGGGGGTCTGGCCCTGTCCCTCCCTGGTAAGCACCCAAGCACCCAAGGCAGGTTTGGGGGACCTACTTGTCTGCCTCCAGGTGAAGTGTCTAGGTGATCATATTTGATAGCTAATGTGCGCATCAGTATTTACGTACCTACATGTAAGGTACCTAGGTAGGTAGGCATCCAGGATGCACCGCAAAAGAGGCAGCAGCGACGGAGTTCCCAACCTTGTCATTCATCCTGGGCAGCTGCAACGCCGCATCCTGAGCCTGATGTCCGCCCTTGCTACCTGCGGTGTCATGCGCGAAAGAGAAGGATAGGCGACAACACAAATATCAACGAATGGAGACGGGCAGCGTACGCAAGGGCGAGCTTTGGACAGGAAGGCGGAGGGTCCTGTGGTGAGGGTGTGGGGCCCTGCGCTTTCCCATGTTGCCATCCTGCCACCTATCGATGCGACCCCTGCAGGATCATGTACCTTCGCTGCTGTCGACTGCACAGGAGCTACTTCGCTTCAGGCACCCCATGTAAAAACACCCGCCTGTTCCTGCCACCGCCACGCGCTATGCCTGCGCAAGCAATCAGGGCCCGGCAGGGTATCAGCTTCGAGCAAGAGCCGAGTCTGGGCACGTGATACCGCGTCTGGTGGGGCCTCTCGACATCCTGTTGACTAGTGCCTCGACGCGGCTTCTTGAATGGTCTGGACTCGGGATCGTGTCATCACCACGATCTGTCTGCCGCTCCTTCGTTTGGTTTTCTACTTGATCTTTGGTTTTGACTCGTGGCTTTCCAGCGTCAATCTTTGTTTTGGAATCCATTGAGACTACATTGACTGCAGTCTTTGCTTATTATGGCTGGTAACGGCATCTGGCACAAAACGTCTGTCCAGGCCGCACAGGAGACGAAGCATACGTATTCTAAGGCCACCCTACCCGGGCAAAAGCGCAGTTATTCGGACGTTGAACCGTCACCAGGGTTTCCGTGTCCCATTATCCCAAGCCGATCGGCAACAGCGCAACGTTCTGTTGGGAAACCGGTTGGTTCTCCACGGCTCTCCGCCAGCCCCATCACAACCCTCGCTGCTGCGCATAGGAACCGAGGGCTCTCTGAGTACTCCCAGCGACGGACCATCCAAGCGACCCCTTCTTCATCCGTAGATCCCTTTCTTTCCCTCGCCCACACCGTCTATGGCCTCCCACGGCCGCTGATCCATAACTTCGCCAAGCTTGGCATTCACAGTATCTACCCTTGGCAGAAGGCATGCCTGCTCGGCCCCGGTCTCCTCAGTGGCGAGAAGAACCTCATCTACAGCGCGCCCACTGGGGGCGGCAAGTCTCTGGTGGCCGACGTGCTCATGCTGAAGCGGGTCCTCGAAGATAAAGATGCAAAAGCCATCCTGGTCCTTCCTTATGTTGCTCTTGTTCAGGAGAAGGTCCGTTGGTTGCGCCATATAGTAGATGGCCTGGCCAAGGTGAATGATCCCCCTCCCGTAGATGAAGCGAATCGGCTTTGGCGGCGGAGGGCCGACGAAAATACTATACGCGTCGTTGGCTTCTTCGGTGGCGGCAAGGTGCAGTCAACTTGGGCGGACTTTGACATTGGAGTTTGCACTATTGAGAAGGTAAGGTGACCACACAAGCATCAGGTCCTGGCCAGGTCTGACTCGCCACAGGCAAATGCCATGATCAACACGGCTATCGACGATTGCTCGATCAAGCACCTCAGAATTGTGGTATTGGATGAATTGCACATGATTGACGACGACCATCGGGGCTATCTGATGGAGCTTATGGCTACTAAACTGATATCCCTTCCTCAGTCGATGCAGGTTGTCGGCATGAGCGCAACTCTCTCTGTGAGTTACCGCGGCACGTACTGTGCTTAAAAGGGGTGGAGGACTGATCTGGCGCCACAGAATATCAGGTTGCTATCGACCTGGCTCGATGGTCATTCCTACGAGACCAAGTACCGGCCCGTACCCGTCGAGGAACATCTCGTCTACGAAAGCCATGTATACCCTGCTGCCACCACGAGCGAGTTGCTCAAGACAGCGAATCAGTTGAAGAATGTTTCTCAGCCCACACAGTCCGAGGCCATGGCTATCAGGCATATAGAGCCATCAGTTCATCGAGAGCTCAAGGACCCAGTAGTCAATTCGGTAGTAGCTCTAGCGGCCGAAACCGCTAGAGCAGGATACGGCGCATTGGTCTTCGCCGGAAGCCGGGGTGCTTGCGAGACGGATGCCAAGCTAATCGCCCGAGTGTTGCCCCAGCAAGAAGAGGTTGAACCCACCGTATTTGACAAGAGAGTCGGCTTGCTTGCCGAACTGCGGAGCTTGAGCACTGGTCTTGATGCGGCGCTCGAAGAGACTATACCTTCAGGAGTAGCATTCCACCGTCAGTTCCGATACCAACCTGGTGTTGCATGACTCTTCTGACTGGTCTCACAGATGTCGGTTTCCATTACATCGCGCCTCGCTCATCTACTTACCTTGCCTAGGCAGGACTCACTACGGAAGAACGCGAACTGATCGCCAATGCTTATGATATGGGCGTTCTAAAGGTTTGCGTTGCAACGTGCAGTCTTGCTGCCGGGATCAACTTGTAAGTTACCGTCAGACAAACATGTGGCATTGCTTAACATTAATAAGGCCTGCTCGCCGTGTAATTCTTCACAATGCGCGAATGGGCCGCGACTTTGTCGGTCCCTCTATGCTCCGACAAATGCGTGGTCGAGCCGGACGAAAAGGGAAAGACGAAGTCGGCGAAACGTACCTGTGTTGTCGGAAAGACGACCTGGAACAAGTCGTTGATCTGATGCACTCCGAGATACCACAGCTCACGAGTGGCCTCAACAGTGACAAGCAGCGCATTCAGAGGTCGGTCACCACTATAAAACCGTGTACCCATACTGACAATGCCCAGAGCGTTACTAGAAGTTATCGCCATACGTTTGGCCACAAGTCGCGATTCAATCGACGACTATGCGGCGAAAACGCTTCTTGCCTGCACAGGCGATCTCGCACTCGTCCGAAAGTGTGTCCAAAGCAGTTTGGACAACCTTCTCTCTCTCAACTTTGTCGAAGTCGACGGGCTGGATGGTTTTCGTCCGACACAACTGGGCAAGGCCATTGTAGCATCAGCTTTGGACCCTGATGATGGAACGTTTATCCACAAGGAACTACAACGTGCGCTAAAGGCATTCGTTATGGATGGTGAGATGCATATCCTCTACATGTTTACCCCTGTTCAGGACTACGGCACAAACATCAACTGGCAAGTATTTCGCAACGAGATGGAGGCGCTTGATGACAGCGGTCATCGTGTTCTCGGGTTCCTAGGCCTCAAGCGTGCTGTGATCAACCGGTTGTGAGTGTACACTGTGTGCAAAGCCATGGCACGAGCTAACAAGTTTCCAGAGCGCAAGGTGGCGTGCTGAAGGGATCGACAGCCGAAGAACAAGATGTAATTCGTGTGCATCGCAGGTTTTACATGGCCTTACAACTACGAGACCTCTGTAATGAGATGCCGATCCATGTTGTTGCTCGCAAATATGATGTGCACCGAGGCGCTGTGCAGACGCTCTCCCAAACATGCACCGGCTTCGCTGCTGGTATGATCAAGTTTTGCGAGCAAATGGGATGGGGGTAAGACGAGCACGCCGTCATCAAATGGGATTCAAGACGGATCGAACCGCTGACTGATACGTCTCACAGCATCATGTCCGCAGCGCTCGACCATTTCTCCGACCGCCTGAGAGCCGGTGCCAGGGCAGACCTGCTGGCGCTGGCCAAGATAACCTTTATTAAAAGTCGAACGGCGTGAGTTGAAGGCGCATCCGCAAACTCCGTACTTGTCTAGCTCATAGGAGAACAGGCGAATTTTCTGGGAGAGCGGCTACCGGAGTATCGCGGCGGTCGCGAACGCGGACCCGCGGGAGTTGGTGCCCATTCTTCTACAGGCAAGTGCACAAACCCCTGTCCTCAGTACAAACCGCGTGCTGACCTCCTCAGGCCCAACCAAGCAAGGTGCGAGTCAAGGCTCAGGATAGCTCTCAGTATGAAGAGAAGATGATGGCCAAGGCCCAAGTCATCTCAAATTCGGCAAACCGATTGTGGCGTAGGCGAAAAGTACACGATCTAAAATCCCCACCACAGCTAACGCTCGAATAGAAATAGAGATGCAACACGACGTCTACGAAGAGTGAGGAACTAGGGATGCTTTGTGAGGCCGCCGTCGGCAGCCAATGTATTCACGAGGCGGCAGCAGAGCCCGAACTTGGCAGCCACCTGAGCAAGGCGGCTCCAAGCGAATTCCTGGCCTCTCAGTATGCATGCATGCTTTTGCACCCACCAATAAAATGAGCCTAATTACAGGCTCTGTTCCCCGTCAGCGCAGACCGGGTACGGTGCAACTGAATAGTGACATTGGGAAGACGATGATGGCAGATACCAATGTCGCCCAGGGACAGAGCCCAGGTTGCTTATGTTCGGGGCACAGGTCAGGACTGAAGGTGAGATGGCCGACAGTACTTGTTGATGCAATGGCAAACTTGGCCATGGGATTCCTAGATTCACAAACTACGGGCGAAAGCTCGGACGAGGTTCGAATGCCAGTCGGCTGCTGCTAGGTCGCCTCACATCATGGCCTGTCAAGAATGGCCACTGCGTGATGACGCCTGTGATACGATGCAGCACAGCGCAGGCGTAGGAAGTGCGTGGCCGTCGAAGGTCTCTACGCAACACGACAGGAGTGGCAGCTTTCCTAGCTCTGAATGCAATGGTTGCACTACATTATGCGCATGATCAAGAGCGAAGAGGGTCGACTCCAGGCCTTTGCCATCCACTGAAGTCTGTCTGTCCGCCTCGTCTGCCTGGAGAACGGACCGGGCGGCTGGTCAATGGCTGCAAGGCCTTACTCCGCCGCTTGGAGTTTTACAGCCACCAGCTGACTGCACACCATCAAGTCTGCCTCGGCCACTCGCCAATTGGCTCTTGAGGTGTGGCATGCGTCTCAAGGTCGCGTGGCTGCCTGTGACCTTTTCTAACTCAAGTATCGCTCTGCTGGCCAGGACTTTGCGCCCAATCTTCTTTCCCTCTGCATTTTGCGTGTTCATCCCTCTTACCCTCGACAGGCGCAACACCAACGGCGCGCTTCGGAGTTCTTGACAGCCCCTGTCCTTACCAAACAGACCAACCTACCACGACGACTTGGATTCTATTTCGTTGACCTCATGAGGATTTCCACCGCCATGTCGAGCCAGCCAAACCGCAACGGCGAAGGAAGCAGCGCCGGTGCCAGCGCAGAGCGGACATTAGACGATACAATGAGGGCGCCCACAAGTACGACGCCAGATGTCGTTGTTCTCGAGCACGCGCACAATGAAAAGAAGGCAAAAGATGCACCGAACTTGCGCGAGGACTTCTGGCTGTCGTCTTCGGATGGACGCTATAACTCACCCATCATTCCGCTTCGGGTCGGCCAGGCACCCGACATGGAGATATTTCATGTCCATAAGGATGTCTTGCTCACGAGCGAGTATTTCAGGAAGGCATTGTGTGGAAGCTTCCGAGAAGCTGACGCACAGTCAATGGATCTTCCCGAAGAAGACCCTGCCATCTTTCATTTCGTCGTCGCGTTCCTGTATCAGCAAACCTTCGTGCCCATCCGGGCTGTCGCTTCGGTGCTGCGACCAGAGACAGGAGGGGGTAAGGAGAGAGATGATGGGGTCCGTGGGTTTGAGGACCCCTCGAGCTCATCTGATTCGGAAGAAAGCGCTGCCAGTGAGAACAGTGCTGCTCGAAGCCGTCGTCTGGTGCAGCGACGACAACGCCGCCAAGAGAGACAGTGGGCGCACGCACAGCAGAAGCACCCCGAAACACATCGCCCGGGTTGTCGATGTCCCCGGTGCATCACCCCAACAGGACCGCCATGCTGGAACTGTGGTGTCAGTCGTGCGCGCCCTATGCCCCCTCACATGATGCCGCCTCCGCCACCGATGATGCCTGGCCCTCCCGTACCCCAGCCAAACCGGCGCCGCCGACGGAACCGTCATCTCATTCCTACACCTCCAGGCTCGACCCCTCATGCGACAAACGCTGATGGCCCTGCCCGAGGAAGCGCTCGGCGCGGTTCCAACCCTGCAGCTGCAGCAGCTGGCGATAGCATTGACGCGACAAACAAGGCGCAGGGCCGCATCCATGGCGAGGACATGCGCACGTGGTTCCAAACGTACGCACTGAGCATCGAGGTATACATCTGCGCCAATAAGTTTCTGATGAACGACTTCAAGGCTGCCATTCGTCGCCGCTGCGTTGACATGCTCGAAACGGCCGGCGGCGACGCCGCAACGCCCGAGGTCTTACGTCTTTGCGCCGCGCTGTATGCTGGAGTCCCTGAGTCAGACCTGCTGCTCAAAATGGTCTTTGCGCGAATCGGTTTCTTGCAGCCGCTCCTCTGGCAGAGGGCGCCGCAGGAAACGAGCGAGTTCCTCATCGGCCATCCGGACGTCGCTGCGCTGGTGCTTAGGGAAGCGGCCCTGCGGAGGGAAGAAGACATCGGGGGCCAGAACCTGCCGAGCATGGAGGTTGCGCCGCCACCGGGACCGCCCCCTCCGCCGTTCGGAGGACCAACAGTTGTGTATCCCTATGCCAGAGTCCATCCTGGACCGGCGATATGGGACTAGTGGGAGCTAGGCAGCATGGTAGTGAAAGCTGGACTGACCCTCGTCAACTCGTATGCTTTCTGAGAATCCGCGGATGCAGACACGTATTATTATAGGTTCGGTCGATCAGCAGGCGTTGGCAATAATGTAGCTGGCTCAATTAGGACAATGACGGTTATCATAGAGCCAGGCATTGTGGGTTGGTCCACTGTCTTCGTGTCACCGATCGTCTTTCTACTATATCGCTTTTCATCTCTCTCCACGAAATTAAAACACACACGCTTGCCATGAACACTATGCGCTCAAAATCACTTAATCGATCGTGTTGTCCCGCAACTTGAACAGCTCTCCGAGGACCTCGCCCGTCTTGGCCCGTAATGCGTTGTGGTACATGGTGTTCGTCTCGAAGACCTTGCACCCGCGAACGGCGGCAGCCGTCTCGCGCGCGATCCGCGAGTCGACGTACATGTCGTCGACATAGCTGGCAGCGTAGACGGGGACGTCATTGCGGCGCAACTGGTCGAGGTCATACAGCGCGGGCCACTCAGCGTGAGCGGCCAGGAGGTCGGCGGCGGGTTTGAGCAGACGCAACTCGGGGTGGGTGTCGAGATGGAAGGGGAAGATCATTTCACCGGAGAAGTAGAGGGGCTCTCTGTCGTCGTCGGACTCGTCGAGCACGAGGGGTTTCGTGTTGTCGAGCCAGGCGTAGGGGGCCAGGCGGCTGCCGACGCGGTGGGCGGCCCAGTTGGAGGCAACGCCGGGCTCGTAGCAGTAGATGGCCTCGTGGAGGATGGCGTAGATGGGATTCGCGTCAAGGGGGTTGTATGATTCGACGGCGGCGAGGGCGGCGCGGGTGAGGTGGCCAAACTGGTCGAGGTCGGTCGCCAGCTTGAGGATCAGGGCGTGGACCGAGTCGAGGCCGCCGTGGGCGCCGAAGCCGAGACCGAGAGTCAGGAGGCGGGGAATGGTGAGGGTGCCGCCGGCGGGGAGCGGTACGGAGGCGCCCTCGTGTGAAGCGATGTGGCGGGCGATCTCGCGGACGGCGCGGATGTCCTCGGGGTACTTCTTGTAGTAGACCTCGTTGCGGCTCGTGACGCGCTCAAAGGTGGCCTCATACACTTGGTCAGGGGTCTTGTCAAGGGGGGCGAGGCCACCGGTCAGGAAGACCTCGCGGAGGCCCTGGGGGAAGCGGGAGAGATAGGTTAGGGCGACGAAGCCGCCGAAGGACTGGCCGAAGATGGACCAGGGCCGTTTCTCGGCAGGGTAGCCTTCCGTGAGGCAGGCGCGGACGGCCTCACAGTCGTTCACGATGTTATCCTGGCGAAAGAGACGCAGGTAGGCAGCCTGGGAGACAGCATCAGTACCGGCTCTCTGCTTGACGGAGGCGGCGGATATGGGGGTGCTGGAGCCGACGCCGCGGTAGTCGAGGAACAGGACTTGATACCCGCGGGTCAAGGCAAGGCGGGTCAGGGGCATGTCCTGGGGTTCGCGGTTGCCGAAGCCAGGACCGCCTTCGAGATAGACGAGCCATGGCTTCTGGTCAGCCTTGATGGCGTCGGCTGACGAGAGCGGCACGATTGGACGCTCATGTTTGGTCACACTACGGCCAAAGAGCTTGAGAGTGCCGGCGGGAGGGTTCGAGTAATCGGCAGGCACTTCGAAGAAGAGCTCGGAGACTTGGAGTTGGTCTGGGGATGTTAGTCCAGGCGCGGGAAACAAGGGCTGGAAATGGCGAGATGTAACATGTACCTGGCAGGATATGGGATCTTCTGCTCAGCAGCTTCGCAGCATTGATGAATTTCCCTGCCATTGTTCAGGCAGTACCAGCCAGGTTGGCTGATCTGGGCGAAGGGAGTGCGATGGTTCAACTCTGGAAAGAAAAAGACTACAAAAAGAAGGTGAAGTACTGGAATGACAGAGAGGCAGATACATGAGTATATGCAGCTCTGACGAGAATCGTGGTGATAGATGCTCTCCAGCAGCTCTCCGTCTGTCTCCTTCTCAAGATGCTGTGCAGCATGGAGGGGTTGATAAGTGGAGCTCTGAAGCCAGCGGTTGCCAACTGCCCCAAGCAGTCAGGTCGGTGCCCACCAACCTACCTACCTACAGTACCAGCGTAGCTACCTAGCAAGCCTAGGTAGGTATGTAGGTACCTCAGCTTGTCAAGGTAGCAGGCTTAGCTACCTGCAGTGCCGTGAGAGCGGCAGGGGTCGGCCTCGGGGTGCGTGTCGCCGAAGGTGGTGTGGTGCAGTGCATGGTGTGGGTCACCCACGTGACGCGTATCCGTGCAATTAGGAAGCTGCCCTCGGCATCCACACCTTCTGCAAACCAGGACCCAACAGACTGACGGCTAGTTCTTCCCTTCCTCCATCACCCACCATCTTCTCCCAACACCATCCTTCATGCCTCACACCGCGCACTCTGAACGCGACCTCAGCAATGTGATGAACTATATCAATCTGACGCAGACATTGGTTGATTCTTTCCATGCTCTTGCCGATGAGGTTCAGGCTCTGACTGACAGGAAAACCATCCTGGAACACAAGCTGAGGTTCGCCCACGAACAGGTAAGCCAACTGCTACAATTCTTCATTTGTCAGCCGAGCATGCCATCATCTCCCCACGGCCATGCGAGGCGATCCCCTTCTACATGATGAACAAAATTTAGCTCTAGATCAAGAGATGCAAGCTGCACCGAAGATCGACAAAAATTTACCAATTTCTGACCTGTTTACCCCTGCTCCCTTTTTTTTTTCTCACTTGATTTTTCTCCGAACCACTTCGGTCCTCGAGCAGATGTGCTGACACGAGGCCCACCGGCTGCCTGCCGACAGTACCAGTTCCTAGCAGACAAATATGCACCCAACGCCCCAGATATTGCAGAGACTCTGGCCAAGCTCCAGCTCCCGTCAGACCTGCCCGTAGACGACGCTAAACCTGTACCCTTGCCCCGGCGCAACAATCTTGACACGCGCAACCAGCTTGCACTGCTCATCCGTGACGGTCGCCGAAGCGCCAAACAGCTTTCAGCCCTTGTGGAGCCGAGTAAAACGAGTGTATCTAGCAGAGGCAGCTTGTCGTGCGACGGGCAAACAGTCACATCCATGTCGACCGCACTGGAACAAGACTTCACCATCGAGGGCAAGAAGGGCCAGCTTCAATGCCCCTTCTCGGCGGCAGCGACACCCAAACCCGACATGGTGAACGGCCACGTTCATGGTGGCTCCGCTGAACATGGCCCGCAGGACACCACCCCTCATCACTCTGCCGATCCCATCTGTGCCGCCATGCTAGAGGAAGCCACATCGCAGCAGGTCCAGTCCAGCGGCAACGCCGCCAACAAGTGTCCCATCCGCTACCTTGACCAACACTCTCCGGAGGAAATTGCCCACTACGTCGAGACACACAAGCACGAGCTGCCACGCAGCCACGAGGTGTGTGTCCGCCGCTACCAGAGAAGTGAAGACCAAATTCGCAAGCTTGACGCCAAGTACGGCAACCTAGTCAGCATGGTGCAGGGTCTTAGCACGCTCCACAAGCCCATGCTGCCGACGTCGCAAATGCAGCAAGAGATTGACAAGGCGTCGAATGAAAGGGTGGAAAATTGGGCGCATGCCGTGACGTCGGATGCCACGGACGATATCGAGGAAGTCAACTCTACGCCGCCGGAGCAGCCGAACGACGTGGATGATGAACGCCAAGGTCATTTTGACCGCCCGCTCAAGGAGGTCCGCGTCGGCGAGTCTCCCAGCCGTCCCTGGGGCATCTCCGTTCCTGTCTATGAGACGCACAGGTTTGAAGACGAGGATGGGCCGCCGCTGTCGCCGCCGCCCGCACCCGTCGTCATGCCAACATCATCGCAAGGTCTTCCGACCCCAGCAGGTCACCCGACCCCAGCCAAGGCTCTTGGGGGCAAGTGCCCATTCGATCACACCAAGCTCGCCGCTGTCATGAACGGACTTGATGCATCTCCACCAGCATATCCCAAGACTGATGAGGGCAAGGACCCTGAGCCGCACCAGCTACCGGCGACACCCCCTCTGAGACCTGTCACACCACCAGCCAAGGCACAACCAGCACCGCCATCGCTTCCGAAGGCCACCTTCGCTCCCCCTCAACCAACCTTTGTTCCACAATCGGCGTACGCACCTCAGCAACCGACCTTTATCAACCCCTCGGCTGAGTCTCTCAAGCCGGGTGGGCCGCAGATGGTTTTCACGGGGCCCGTGTTTATCGGGTATCCCATCGAACAAGCCATTCAGTTTATGCAGCACTTCCAGGGGCAGCGACCATGACCTGCTTCTCTTACTTTGGTTCTTCGTTTGTGTTTTCTTAGCGCCGGCGTTTTGGGTTAGCGTTTCCTATTCAGACTGTACTCACCCGCGAGCGATTGTACTTGTTCTTGATCTCATGACGTGACGATGGCTTGGGGTGTATTTGAGGATGAGGACGAGAGCGGGCTGTCTTCACGGCGTAACAATAGGATACCACACTTCAATTCAGATGAATACTCCACATGCATGGAACGAAAACCAGTCGATGCCGAAATGTGTCTATGTTTTTTATTGTACCTTCCCACATGTGCACCATCTATAGTGAAGGACCCTTCCAGGAAAAAACAACACAGGTACCCAAACCCCTAATCAGAAAACGCCAACCAGCTTTCTCAGACACGCTACTGGCATCAAGGTCGTCAACAGCAGCGGCAGCGGCCCAAAAGAACGAGGCGTTGTCGTCGAAAGACGGAACGACGAAGAAGGAAAGAAAAAGGCAGACGCGGCGCAACGGAGAAACACGGCCTACTCTCTCCTCCCAGTCTTCGACCGCCGCGCGTCGTCCACGACGCCCGTCTCCTGGCCCCCGGCCTCGTCCTCGTCCCGGTACCGCGCATCCTCCTCGTTGCCCCAGAGGCTAATGTCATCCTCGTTCATGAGGGCCGCGACGTCCTCGGGGTCGACGAGGCCGGCCTCGACGTCGGCGTAGTCAAAGTCGGCATGGCCGCGGGCGGCGCCGCGGGCGGGAGACGACGAGCCGTCGCTGCCGCGCCTGCGGTGGTCGTGGTCCGGGTGGGCGTGGTCGTGCTGCTCGAGGGCCAGCTCGGCGGCGCGGGCCATGGTGCGGTGGGAGATGAGCCAGCCGACGGCGAGGCCGACGAGGCCGCCGAGGGCCATGGAGGTGTAGTTGACGGCCTTGTCGGCGGCGGTCATGGCGTCGCCCTTGTCGGCGATGAGGGCGAGGCGCGAGCCGATGAAGACGTGGACGAGGAGCTTGGGGCTCGCGAGGGCCGTGGCGGCGGCGAAGGCGGCGGGCCGCACGGCGGGCACGGTGGCGAGGAAGCCGTTGGACACGCTGTAGGGCAGCGGGCAGAAGCGGACGGCCGTCAGCATGCCGAGGCCGTCGCTGCGGAGGACGTGGCCGAGGGCGACGAAGCGCGGGTCGGCGCCGACGAGGCGGTGGACGTAGCCGCTGAAGACGGTGCGCGACGTGTAAAAGGCCGTCAGGCTGCCGGCGACGGTGGCCGTCGCGACGATGGGGTAGGCGTGCGGGAAGCCGTAGACGAAGCCGGCGACGGTCACGGACGTGCCGTAGCCGATGACGGGCGGAAAGGCCGTCGCAAAGGTGAAGAGCCAGGCGAGCACCCAGCCGCCGGGCAGGGCGCGCCAGCGGTGCGACACGGGCGCGAGCCACGCGAAGATGGCGTGCGAGTAGATGACGAAGAGGAGGAGGACGACGTTGACGACGATGAGCGCCAGCGTCAGCGCGAGCCGCTGCACCGGCGGCAGCCGCAGGTAGAGCACCCAGAGGTTGTTGGCCGTCTTGTGGGCGGCACGCAGGGCCCGCGTCAGCGCCGGCGGCTGGTGGCGGGCAAAGCGTGTCGTCGAGAGCCGCCGCGAGGACGGGGACCGGCGAGCCCAGGGCGGAGGAGGGTCGGGCGACGATGTGGCGGATGGCGAGGCGCGCCGCGTGGGTGAGGCGAGACCGGGCTCGGGCGATATGGACAGCGCCTGGGCTGCCGACCACGCATCGTTGCCGTTGGCGGGCATGGCTGGGATGGAGGGTCGGGTTGTGTCGTTGTGATGGGTGTCCGTTCGGGAGTATGTTCTGCAAAGGGATGATCGGAGGGGTCGTCGTTAAGAGGAGCCAAAGTCGAGTAAGAAAGCGAAACCCAGCAGGCGATGCAAGCGATGGGGTGTTGATGACGGCCCTGCGTCGTATGAGCGAGCTTCGAGCGGCAAGCGTCGAGCGTCGAGCTTCAATGGATTCGGTGAGCAACAAAAGCTACCGCGTGGCCATGTTCCACAGCAATGGGAGAAGGCGAGGATGCAGTGTCGTGGAGGGAGTTTTGCGGTGTCGGATACACCGGGGGGAGGGGAGTGGAGGGGAGGTTCAATTGATACGAGGTCTAGGCAGTCGTCATGGGTTGGTCAGCACTTGCGCTGTGCCGCCAGGAGGCTCGAGGACCGCACGCCCTCCCCAGCGACCAAACGTCCATACGTACCTGGGGTAGATGGCGCTACAGCAACTCAATTTGCTACCTGAGGAGCATTCATACGGTTGTGTTGTGCAATGGCAAGGGAAGACGGTGGAGAGTGGTCCAGTGTCCCGTGTTCCATGTTCCAGCACTGACGTTGAGCCACAGGCGTTGAACCATACACGCCCAAACGAGGCTTAGCGTTGCTTCGCCTTGGGACTGATCGGCACGACAAACTGCTGTATGCATTGGCATCACACCTTTGTCAGTACCCAAAGGGCCAGAGTGGATGCCTCTATGTTGTATCCTCGTCTTCTTCTCGCTTGTCTTCCATATCTTGGGGTCTCGTCTTGGGGTCTCGTCTTGGGGTCTCGTCTTGGGGTCTCGTCTTGGGTCTCGTCTTCTCATGCCAGCCCGCCCCCGCAGAATCCCTCGTCTCATATCCACAGCATCATGACCGTCTTGCGCTCGGTCCCTTGGGCGGGTCTCGAACGAGCAGCCTCACCTTGCCATCCCCAATCTCGACGCCCTGACTCAGAATGTCGACCTCCTCCTTGCTGCTGCTCTCGGATGGGCTCGCCGCGCCCGACCTGGCGAGGCTCTTGTCGTAGCTCGTCGCGTCGATGCCCAGGATCCCGCCCATGTTGTTCCGGTCCCCCGGCACCGAGAACTCCCGGTATGCGTACCGCCACTCGTTGAGGAAGTTGCGGATCGCCTTGCCCACCTTGTCCTTGCCGCTCTTGCTGTGGTGGCCCGTCCCCGTGATCGCGTATATGGGACGCCCCTCCTTGCTGTTCTCCGCCAGCACCCGCTCCAGGTACTCGACCGCCTCCTCGGGGTGCAGCCCGTGCAGGTCGACGTACATCTCGGCACTCGTCGAGTTGGCCCTGTTGCGCTCTTCGTACAGCTCCCGCGCCGCCTCGCGATGCGCTTTCCGCATGAGGTCGTTCTCGCTTTGGCCCCGCAGGCTCAGCGCCTTGGCGGCCCGCGCGTCGTTCCGGTTCCATGCCTGCGCAGCGCTGTCGTCATGGTCAGTCATGGCTCTTGTGCTGCTCAACCTTCGCCCAAAGGAAAAAAAAAAGGAAAAAAGGGGGAAAAAGGAAAGAGACAGTGAGGGGGACAGGAAATACCTCTGCAGGAATTTGTTCCTGAGGCCGCCGTGCTTGATAGCCTCCTGGCGCGCCTTCAGGTAGAGCTTGTTGGCCCGCTCGCCCGTCTCCAGCCAGGGGATATGCTTCGGGCTCTGGATCGCCTGTGCCGCCAGGCTGTTCTCCCCGTTGCGGATATTGGTCGAGCTGCCGTTGCGCCCAATCTTCTTCGGGTCCTGCCGCAACACCGCCGGCGCCGGCGAGGGCGACATTTTGACAATTTCCGCCAGTGAACTAGGCGCCACAAAGTTGTCCTTGTGGTTGTGCCCGCCCCTTTTGCCGTGGTGCTTCTTCGGCTGCTTGGCCGCGGCCGAGCCAAGGGACGGGAAGGCGTCGGCATCATCGAGGGAGGGCGCAATGACGACCGCCTCGCGGGGTTGCTGCTGCCGGCTGCCGGGACGAGACCGAGACCTGGGGCTCTCCCCTGCGTGGAACGGCTTGAGACCCGGGGGCGGCGTGATGCCGACGAATGGGTAGCCGCCGTTGGTCTGGCCGGCGCCGTGTTCGGGTGTCCCCGGCTGGAGCAGCGGGAACGAGTTGTAGTCTGATACTTGTATGGTGGCCTGCTTAGTAGGAGGCGTGCTGGCGCCGTCGAGCGCGAGCTTGTTCATGAGATAGGCCGGATCGTGTGAGAAGATGCACGTGTCTCCTGCGAGGCAGTTGCCCATGACCCAGTACCTGTGAAAGCATGGTTAGTCTTGACGGTGACAGGTGAAGACCCAGGAGGCCACTCGTACTTGCACAGATGATTGCTGAGGTCGTGGCTGAACCGGCAATCGGACCGCAGGCACTGGCCTGTGGACATGTAGAACTTGCAAATGACGCCCGACCTTTGCTGGCCGGCCGGCGTTGCGGGCCGCGCCTCGGTGGCCATGGACTTGCCAATGACGATGGACTTGGTCTCCTCGGCCTGCAGGCTCGGGAAGGAGCCGTCTTGCGCCTGGCTCTCCATAATGGCCACGATGGCGGCACTCAGGTCATAGCCGTGCACGGCAAGAGCCGCCTCGATCTCGTCATCCGTCCGCGACTGTCCCAGTATGGAGCGCAGCATATCGTAGGGCGACATGTCATTCTGCTGCGACGAGAGGGACGAGAACTCGGGGGCCGCGGCGTTGAGGCCGCTTGACGTGCCGACGGACGATGTGACGCTGACGGCATCGTCGGCGACGAGCCACTCGACATTTTCCGTCTGGTAGTCGCCGAACGTCTCGGCAGAAGGGGTCGGGTCATTGGCAAACTCGTAGGCGTTGAGGTTGGGACTGTGGGGTATGGCGGGCGTGGCGAAAGCGAGCCTCGGCGAGGGTCTCGGCGAGGAGAAGGGCGAGACGGCGGACGGCTTGTTGCGGCCAAAGCCGGAGGGGACGAAGCCCGGGGGCGCGAGGGGGCTGACGCCGAGACGGGGCGAGCTCGACAGCGGGGTGCTGCTGTTCTGGCGCCAGGAGGCGGGCGAGGGCCGTCGGAGGATGGTCTGTCGGATGGGAGGCGGTGAGGCGGCGCTGGAGCCTCCGTCGCGATATCGCCACAAGGCGTCGAGTATGGCGTGCTCGAGGGCCGAGTCTCTCAGGTTGGTCTCCTTGGCGAGGAGGTCCTCGAGCCGGTCGGTCTTGTCCTCGTCCTCTAGGGTGGCATCTTGCAGGATGGGGAGACAGATCTCGTAGTGTTCGTCGGAGACCATGGTGGGCGGGAGGGGGGCGGGGACGCGTCGGGGAGGGGCCTATGCAGAGGATCGCAGCCACCGCTCGGAGAGGTTGGAAGGAAGAGGGTCGGAGCAATGGGATTTCGAGGCCGAGAGAATGGCGATATGAGAATGACAGGCAGGGAAGGGGGGAGAGCGAGTAGGCGTGCTGTTGTTGATCCAGCAGTAGCTCCGATTCGAAGTGGGGACAGGACGTTGCGTATCTCTCTCGGGTTCAGGTGGGTAGGTAGTACTGTAGGTAAGGGGGGGGGGTCCCGACATGCAGCCTGTAGAGGGTTGCAGGTGACGGGAGGTGGTGCTTGGGGAAAAGGAAAGGCTATGGTTCGAGAAGCAGTGTTAGCAAGAGCAGCAGCATGGACAAGACATCCTACGTCAGCTCCTGCAGCGTGTGGAAACCTATGAGCCGTACATTGCCGGAGGGGCGCGTCGTGTTCGCGGTGCGTTGGTGTTTGTGTTTGGGGACAGAAGAGAGCAGCAGCAAGTGTGAGTGGAAAGGGTGAGTGCGTGTGGATGGAGTGGTGAGCAGACAAAGGTAAATGAATGGTGGGTGCACGTAGCAGCAGCAGCAACAGCAGCAACAGCAGAGCAGCATGGACAGACGGTTGGGCCTGGGGCGACAGCGGGAAGGGAGGGGAGGCTAGTGGGAAGCTCTCACCTTGGATGAAATGAGGGGACTGGACCACCTGAGTGGGGACCTCAGACGGTCGATATAGGTATAGGTACCTAGCTTGGGGAGCGAACTATTTGTCGAGGCTCAGGCTCTGAGAGGAGGCATGGGCGGGCACCATCAACGATGCAGTGGATGTCAGGGTTTGCCTTCAGTCGGTCGGAGATTGAAGAGAACTGATGGAGATTTGATGCAAAGAGCGTCGAGTCTGAGATGGGTCGGCGAGTGAGAATGCACAATTTGGATGCGACCTGTCACATGAGGTGGCCGGCCAGGTGGGTGGAAGCCCGTCCGCTCCGTCTGTTCCATTGTCTTGTCGGCTTCTTCCCTTCACCAACTGAGGTGCGACTGGACTGGACACCGTGACGTGACGAGCTTCGTCGTGGGTGGTGGGCGCATGGCCTGGTTGGCTGGGGGCTTGTGCATTGAAGCGGCGAGGCAGGGGTTGCCGCGAGGCCGTGTCGCAGAAGAGCTGAGGCAGGGGACAGGCCGCCAAGCGTTCCAGGTACCTAAGCTGACTGAGTTCGAGATGGAGGGCGCTTGCCTGTGTCTCCGAATCAAAATTTTATGCTTCGTGGTATCCGAACAGATACCTTCTGGTCACATACCTAGCTAGGTATCTTAAGGTACCTTAAGGTAGGTACCTAGATTGGCATGCATCGTCTCTCCAGGGACGTCTCTACGTAAGGTATGTCCCTGATGGTGCCTGTGCCCTGGTAGGAAGACGGTGGGCTGCTCCCCACATGAGCTACCCGCCTAAGGTTGAGGTACCTGAGGGTAGTACACGCCCTAGCGGTAGCTTCCAGCCTCAGAGCGTCCCGCTGGGGTTATGATGTTGAACGCATGCCAAAGCAGTGTGAACACGAATGGAGCTGCAGTCCGATGCTCACGCACGAGGCCAGTAGAGGTGCATTTTGTTTTATTTTAACATTTTATTTTAGGCTATCGGAAACGATTTGTCTGTAGAAATGCTTGCAAGCTGAGCCATGTTCACCCACAAATGATACAATCCTCTTGACGCTCTCTGTCCGCTCGCTCTCGTTGTTGCTCGACCACAGAGCAACAGCGATCTCCTGCACCGGCCGGCCCGCCACCTCGGTGGTCCCCCAATAATATCTCCAGCGAATAACTTGCTGCCATATCTTCTCACATCTTGTTGGCCTTGCCTCTCCATCCTGTCCTCGTCTTCGTTTTGCAATACAGAGATAGCAATCCATCGTGGGCAGAGACTACAAGGCTCAGAGCTCTGGGCTTCCCTCGTGGTCAAAACAATGCCCAGCCTGCGAGACATTGACTACCTGCGATTCGCGCACATTGTGTCATACACTCCAGCAGACAGGCCTTGCACAGAGAGGTACACCTGCATATCTGCCTTGCTATCTAGACCATCATGCATTCGAGCCGACGGTGAAAGTCTATGACCAGTGTCAAGCCACAAGGTCTTTGTATACTGCGAGGCTGATGACGCTCGACTCGGTTGGGTTTACATTTGAGAAGTCTCCCGGAGCGGTGTGTTGATGTGAGGTCAAGTCTTGACACACTGACCTCGCTGGTGGCGTTGCCCAGAAGTAGGCCTCCGTCGGGGATGTTAGTGAAAAGCATCGTGCGGACTCTCAGATGTCCGACTCCATGCCTGCAGTGTGCTCATCGTCTCAGTAAGAAAAGCGTAGGTATGATCATATCCAGCAAACCACAGACATGGTCTCGGAGAAGTATGATCATGACTCTGTATCCCAACATCAGCATAGAGTATGGTAGTTGCGAATGCCGACAGCCTTGTCATGTTGATGAGAGAAGCTTCCTAATGCTTCATGCCAAGCCATCTGTGTCCCAAAGCTCAGTTTAGGCTGTCTTTTTGTCTAATCTCTGCCAAAACCAAATCGCCTGGTCGTTCAGAGTACGCCCACAATGTGTCTCGATGGCCGTTGGCTAGTGACCAAAACCTCATACGACAATCGCATGTCTAGATGCGCCATGAACGACCAAAAGCGGCCGCCGAAAATGCATCCATTCAGGGTATCTCGTCATCGTCATCGCCGCCGAACCCGAAGCTGAACCCTCCACCCTCAGCTTCCGCCGGCCCTGCACCGACTGCCTCCTCCCATTTCCGTTTTTTATGCACCGCCTTACTGTCCAAGATGCGCAACGCCTCCTCGAGTGCCTCGGGGTATGTTGCCTGCAGCCGCTCCACAAACAGCCCGTAGGGGTCCTTCACATCGCGCTCGAAACCAGTCACCTGGTCAGCCTTGTCTCGGAGAAACGATAACGCTTCGGAGAGGTGGTGGAGCGAAGGCGACTTGGGTACAAAGTTCTGAGTCAGCGCAATACCGCTCTCCAGGTTGACCACGAGATGCCACCATCCGCTGGGGACGTGCAGGATCTCCCCCGCATGGCAGACGCCCTCGATACACTCAGGCAGCTGCCGTGCCTCGTCATGGAACGTCTCCAGCCACTCGGCTATGCTGATGGGGCTCGTCACCTCGCTCGCGTCCCTGGAAACGAACACGCCGGGCACCGACACGGAGGGCGGGAACATGATCCAGTATTTGGAGCCCTGCAGAACTGCGTTCCAGGCGCTCGTTGCGTTGGGGTCTTTGTGGAAGGTTGAGCCGCTGCGCTCGGGGCCAATGATCAGCCATCGGTGCGCTGGCCGCTCGTCTCCAAGAAGCTCAAAGAGATCTGGACCGAAGCACTCTGGCTTCCAATACGCTGCGCCCTCTTCACGACCCACTTTGATGTGCATCTTCTCAGCGAACTTCTTGTCGAAAAGATAGAGAGGGCTTTCGTCAGTTGTGTTTTGCATGTAGTCGTGATATGTCGAGAAAGGCCAGTCTACAGCCTCGGCACGAAACTCCACGTCACCGTATTGCTTCAAAATCGTCTCAATGGTCCAGGTCTGGAAGACCGGCCAATCCTGAATGCATTTCGTCAACACAAAGGGCTTTTCAGTCCATGAGGCTGCGAACTCATCATATGACAAATTGCCAAGCTTGATGATTTGGTTACCACGGGGGATCTTGGTGGCAAACCTGGACAAGTCCAGATGGCTGCAGACAAATGGCCTGTGAAGGACATCCGAGAAAATATTGCTGCAGTCAATCTTGGATTCCTGGTCAACTGCCAGCCCGAGCAGTGTTGCCCTCCAAGAGCCCTGCCATTTCCCGCCAAACCGACCTGTCGTATGGTGCCTGGGAACAGTTAGTTTTAGTCTTTGCAATCCTGTAGGTCCCCGGCCACACAACACCGCGACTGTGACTCAGTCATACAGGATGACTGAGTGCCGTGTTTGGCCTCATCCCGGGCACCGGCAGCCTTGTGTTGGAAGAGGAAGAAGACTCACTCAAGGAAAAGGGGCTTCCACAACTCAGCAGACGAACAAAAGGCGTAAAGGAATCGGCATGTATAGCCTAACCGCCTCAGTGAATGCTGGTCAAGATATTCCAGAAACAACATGAGTGTCTCGTCGGAGAATGACCGAAAAGCGCCGGCAGAAGGGCGTGCCTTCGGACCTTCATGGAGAAATTGGTTGCCGAGAGGCTTCACTCCTAAAGGGTGGGTGGGAAGGCTTGAGATTGACTCATGCGTCGTCGGTGTCATAGCATCTTCTGTGTGCGCATGCTCACGTTTGGCCTCACTGACGTGAGACGTGCCATTATTAGCCGCAAGGCCGTTCGGCCGAGAGATGTCGTTGGCCGTCATGTGTATAAAGCGATCAGTGCGTGTGGTGGAGGGGCAGCCTGGTTGGGGCCCTGGTCTGGAGGTAGACGTGGGGGACTCGGCAGAAAGCTAAGACACTGTACAAAGGAGGGAGGGAAAAAAAAAAAGAAAGGATCAGGGCTTGACCACCATGTGACCCCAGGATGACTCGCTGGTCAGAGTTTCGCCTCACGGTCAAGTGTTCGAAGTCTCAAGAGAATGTTGACCGAGGCCAAAATAGTAGGGAAAAATCCATCTTTGGGACTCCCCTCCACTGACAGGCATCTGCTGGCTGAACTAGGATGTCGCCGCTGTGTTGAATGGGCTGATGACAGTCAAGTGAGGTGGGGGCAGGGGCAGGCTGTGAGGTCAGTGCTGCGTCGGAAGACAGGCGTGGCACGGCTCAACATCGCTTAAAACCGTGGGATCGCCCCTGCCCCTCCTCTTTCTCCTATCGCTGGCCAACCACGTGACTGGCAAGAAAAAAAAATTAACGACTCTTCTCTTTCTCCCGTGCCGCCACACCACGACCACCCAGATCACTTATCCACCTCAACACCAACAACTTGACATTCCCCCCTGCTCTTTGATTTCTATCAAGAGCACTTAGACGAGTCTCAGATTAAATATCTAGACTCTCTTTGACGATTTTCCACGGTATACTCTACGAGTCTCCCGTGTGATTACGACAAGCCGCATTTGCCCGCCGACCAACAATCGCAACACCAAACCGCAATCATGGCTGACTCTCAGGGACTGGAGGAGATCAACGAGGGTGAGTGATCGCGACAACCTCTTTTCCGCCCTTGCAGCTACGCTGGACTGTGTCGCATCGCATCGCGCTCGTCGCATGGGACCGCGACGCAAGGCGACGCACCGCCCACCCACCTGCTGCTACCCCTCAGCGACCCGTTGCTGACCAGCCTTACTACAGCGACCATCGAGTCCAACTGGACCGAGGTTTGCGAGTCGTTCGACGACATGGAGCTGAAGTCTGAGCTTCTCCGTGGTGTCTACGCCTACGTAAGTTTTCTTCACCCCGTCGCTTCGTCGGCGAAATTCCATCCTCCCACAATATGTCGCATACTGATAGGCGGTGTCCAGGGTTTCGAGCGTCCCTCCGCCATCCAGGCCCGTGCCATCATGCCCGTTGTCAAGGGTATGTAAAGCCACCGACTTGAATCCCTACTCCCCCCTTCACCTCCCACTCACACAATGCGCAGGTAACGATGTCATTGCCCAGGCCCAGTCCGGTACTGGCAAGACCGCCACCTTCTCCATCTCTGTCCTGCAGAAGATCGACCCCGCCGTCAAGCAGTGCCAGGCCCTTATCCTTGCTCCCACCCGTGAGCTGGCCCAGCAGATCCAGAAGGTCGTCATCGCCATCGGTGACTTCATGAACATTGAGTGCCACGCCTGCATCGGCGGCACCTCTGTCCGCGACGACATGAAGGCCCTCCAGGACGGCCCTCAGGTCGTCGTCGGTACCCCCGGCCGTGTCCACGACATGATCCAGCGTCGTTTCCTCAAGACCGACAGCATGAAGATGTTCGTTCTCGACGAGGCCGACGAGATGCTTTCGGTACGTTCCACCCTTTTCCCTCTCTGAATTCCCTTATGTCGTCTAACACGTCTTGCCAGCGCGGTTTCACCGAGCAAATCTACGACATCTTCCAGCTCCTTCCCCAGAGCACCCAGGTCGTCCTTCTCTCCGCCACCATGCCCCAGGACGTCCTCGAGGTCACCACCAAGTTCATGCGCGACCCCATCCGTATTCTCGTCAAGAAGGACGAGCTTACCCTTGAGGGTATCAAGCAGTTCTACATTGCCGTCGAGAAGGAGGAGTGGAAGCTCGACACCCTCTCCGATCTGTACGAGACTGTCACCATCACTCAGGCCGTCATCTTCTGCAACACCCGCCGCAAGGTCGACTGGCTCACCGACAAGCTCACTGCCCGTGACTTCACCGTCTCCGCCATGCACGGTGACATGGACCAGGGTCAGCGTGACCTGATTATGAAGGAGTTCCGTTCCGGTTCTTCCCGTGTCCTGATCGCCACCGATCTTCTGGCTCGTGGCATCGACGTCCAGCAGGTCTCGCTGGTCATCAACTACGACCTTCCCGCCAACCGCGAGAACTACATCCACCGTATCGGTCGTGGTGGCCGTTTCGGCCGTAAGGGCGTTGCGATCAACTTTGTTACCGCCGAGGATGTTCGCATGATGCGTGAGATTGAGCAGTTCTACAGCACCCAGATTGAGGAGATGCCCATGAACGTCGCCGACCTCATCTAAGCGTCACACACACACATACACCACGCGTTTTGGGTCTTGGGACTAGGGCACACTCGGAGATCCACCCTATCACGGACGGACCTTGCATTTGGGTGGCGTGCTTCCCAGGACCGTCGAAGAAGGTCCTGTCCAGTCGTTGTTGTTTGTCGATAGATCGGTCGACGCTGCTTAGAGACGTCGCCTGGGGCGCGGCTGGCCGGTTGCCGCGCGGCCAGCTGCGCCCTGGCTCATCAGTGGCGATCACAAAAAGTGGCTTCATTGCGGGCGAAGAAGGCTCATGGGTCTCTCCGGCACCTTAATGCTTCTGAAGGTGCGGACGGGAGCCATCGGAGAATAATGGGGCAGGTTCACGTCTCGATTTCTCTTTCGGTCTCTCGGTCTGTAGTTAGGGGGGGCAAATCATGAATCAGTTTCCTAATTACCAATGCTACACGATAGTGATGATATGATGTGTCGTGCACCAGGCACGGCGTGACTAGTGTGTATAGTCGGATGGCAGCTTGTACGGGCATGCGAAGCGTACTTGGTACCTAGGCAGGTAGGTTGTGGGCCAAAGAGAGGGTTGGAAGCAGTGAGGGGCAGATGGAAATATTGTTCGATGTACAGCGCCCTAACGTACCCCGCCATTACCCCGCGGCGTCGAGGCACCCCCCACTGAACAAGCCCTGAACAGGCATGTGTCCAAATGGCAGGGCACCTGTAGGTAATACCTAATTCGCCAGCCGTCGTGTCCCAACACGCGCCGAGCGTATGACACGATATAGAACCTTCCGCTGTTGTGTTCATTGGCACACAGTGGTTACGGATTTGGCTATGGAAAGTAATGTTTTGATTCCTCTTTTTTTTTTTTCTAACTATATTGATGGCTTAAATGAGCCTGCGCTCACTAGATAAACGACCACTATATCCAGTGAAATATGATGCTCACTTAAGCTGTGCCAAATTCGCCTCCAAGACTTCCGGAGGGGGGAGCACATCAGGTCCGAATGAAATAGGCAATAACTTGGTGTTTCGTCAGCCCAATGCTTGATGCACACCTAACACCTAACACCTAATAACAGCACCACAGGTCACTGGAAAAGGGGGGGGGGGGCAACTCACCTCCTCCAGTGTCAAGACAACATAGTCGCCCTTGACGTTGAACATAAAGATTGGCGTCTCGACTGTGCAGAATTCACGGATGCTGCCCTTGTCAGTTCCATGAGACCACAACCAATAACAATGCCACGCAAATCGAGCAACGGGAGCCAATACAGAGGAGCGACTCACAACTGTCGGCACGCACCACAGGGGCTGACGGTGGGCTCAATGTCAGCAGCGACGCCGACGGCGCTGAAGCCGCGGATGCCCTCCTGGACGGCCTTGGCAAAGGCGACCCTCTCGGCGCAGGTGCCGACGCCGTAGGAAGCGTTCTCAACATTGGCGCCGTCTGTGAACTGGCCGGCGTTGGAGAGGATGGTGGCGCCGACGCGGAACTTGCTGTAGGGGCAGTACGCCGTGCTCTTAGCAGCGACGGACCTATCGTGCAGCGTCTGCACCTGGTCCTCGGTGAGGCCGTACTTGGAGGCGACCTCGGCGAGGTGGGACTCGTCTTGAATAGAGTACGTCTTGTAGCTAGGCATCTTTCTTCTTTTCTTCTCCTTTCCTTGGTTGAAGATGCGAATATAAAGTGGGAGTGAAAGAGGGAGGAGAGGGAGAGGCGGACGGGAGGCTTGAGATATCAAGTCTTGTGACAAAAAACACACTGGGCGTACGGGCGCTGGGACGAACGAGCGCAAGGGCCCAGAGGGCTTAGATAGAGCCTTGGAGTTAGAGGGCACAGCTGATAGGAGTGGCCCGGACTCCACCGAAACGCCGCTGCCTTCCCCTTCTGTACCTCGCTGTTTGCGCCAAGTCTTGCAGCCCCATCAACCCAATTTCTTCAAATATCATCACGGATTCGCGCAACCGGCATCGTTGTCATCAGGAAGAGTACCTCTTTTTTATGGCTAGCTGTCACCGTGCTTCCGCGATCGACCGTACGCATAGGCACCCGAAGAAACGGCAAGAAACATGTTGCCTAGCTCGATGCAAACTCCCACCATCCGTCTTTGCCAGAGATGCGAAGGTTGTCATCCTCCAACACCTACCCAGGGCCTCAAATGGGAATCGTCAGAGGGTTCATGACACTACATGGAAAAGTCAGTTCTCATCAAACTCTCCATGCCAGTTATAGATGCCACTCACGATGCACCGCCGTCAACGATGAGGTTGGCACCATTAACGTACGACGAGAAGCCCGAGGCCAGGAAGCCCGCGACTCTCGCGACCTCCTCGGGGTTCCCCGCCCGCTCCAAGCCGACGGTCGCCTCCGACGCTTCCTTGGTCTGCAAGCTCGCCGGAGGGAACTGCGCATTCATCCCCTTGACGTCGGTCTTTATGTGTGCGTATGAACCATTAGCAGAATGCTCCCTCGCTTGGGACACCAACGAGACGAAAAAAAAAAGGAATAAACGCAGGACTCACCCCGTGCAGGTTGACCCCGACGTCAATTTGACCCGGCGAAATGCAGTTCACCCTGACGCCCGTGCCCTTGAGCACAGCGACGCCGGCCCTCACGACGCCCAGCGCCGCGTGCGACGCCATGGTGTACGCCGGGCCCCAGCACCCGCCATACGTCCCCGCGACGCTGCCCACGACGATGACGCTGCCGTACGAATGCGTCTTGGGTGCCGCGTTCGGGTACGCCTGCTTCTCCGTCAGCTTGCCCATGGCCGGCGGCGCGTACTTGAGTGCGTAAAAGGGTGCCATGGAGTGTGCCTCGAAGCACCGCTGCAGGTCCTGCGGCGTCGTCTCCGGGATGGCGGCCGGGCCTAGCAGGCCCGAGGACGACACCCACACGTCGAGCCGGCCGAACGCCGCGAGGATTTCGTCGATGAGCGTCAGCGTGTCCTCTTCCTTGGCAATGTGGAACGGGTACGGGATGATCTTGGTGTTGGGCGCGTGCTGCGTCAGCTTGCTGAGCAAGGGTGCGTAGCTCTCGTCGCTGGCCGAATGGTCACAGGCTGCCGTACTTCTTCGTCAGTCACACACATACAAAATCGCTGCCTCTTTGTTTTCCGAGGGAGAAGCAACGCCATCAGGCCCAGGAATAGTTGCGTACCGTAAATTGAGGCGGCTCCGTGAGCTGTGAAGCATGGTCAGTCGCCAGGTCAGCACTGTGAGGACAGGATCTTAGATGTAGCACACGTACTCGCCAACTCCTCGATGATGGCCTGTCCCACCGGCTGTGAAGCACCCGTCACGACGCAGACAAAGCCGTACTGGATCCTTCTGTCAGTGAGTGGCCCCTGCCGGACTCCGTGGCATTCACGACGTCACTCACAAGCTTGCCGTCCGCGCGGTACGGGCTAAAGTCACTCGTCGTGTCCATGGCGATGAGCTCTGCACCGCGTCTGTTTGCTGATGTGTTTGTGACCTCGAACTTGACTGAATTCTCTTCAACTTCCAATTCACAGTCACAAAGAAGGAGAAGAAAAGAACGATATGCCAAACATGCTAAACCCCCCTCGATGGCCTGATAGTCGAACGGGCTCGAAGCCTGCTTATTACCCGCCACCTGACTGGCCAGGCCGCTCTCAGCAGTCTGTCGAGGAATGGTGCTTCTCCGAGGGCGCGGGGCTGCCGCAAACACCCCGCCCACGCTGCATGATTGACATTGATAATAGATAAGCTCGGCCGCCACGCGCGCCAGCGCCCGCAGCGCCGTGCTAACTGATACGTAGTCACAACAAGTGCTGAAGTTAAAGAGTCTTCCAGTCGGCGCACGCGGCACACATCTGCAGCGGCGTGGGTCTTGGGACTGCATTTGAGAACGGAAGAAAATGAACGCTTCAATTACTATTCATCATGTAGAGGAGGCGGGCCGCCTGTATGTTCAAACACTATTCATCTCTTACTGACGTAGGTGGGCGAATCCCAAAGTCGGCTCAAAGTCCGTCTCATCCTTGGCGCCAAAGTCCCAAACTGTGTAGAAGTTCCTCAGGAACGGCGTGCCGATGAGCGTGAAGCCCTCGGCGCCGCTGTCCTCGAAAGGCGGCCAGCATGCGTCAGGCGCCGCCGGGAAGCCGGGCTTGCGGAGGTCCTCGCCCGAGGCCGTTAGCACAATGGGCTCCGAGACGCCGGGTGGGCTGAACTCGAATGAGATGGACCACGACGAGTTGAACTCGGAGCACTTGAGCACACGCTTGCCGTCGAGGAGATCCGTGTAGTTGAGGCCCATGGTCTCATACACGGCGAGGACCTTGTCGGTGGGCAGCGAGGACTTACCAGCGCCCGTGTCGAAGACGACGTTGGTGAGGCCAAGGTCCGTCGTGCTGACGCCACCATTGACCGAGTCGAGGCCCTTGAACGAGACGCCCTTGATAGTGGACCGCCAGACATCGTAGCGTCCATCCGGGCCCTTGACGATCGGAATCTTCGTGAGCTCCGCCTTCGAGTACTCAGACTCCTTGGAGGAGCCGATCGTCAGCAGGCCAGGCTTATCGGCGGCGTCATTATCGCCAAGGTAAATGCCAAATCGGGGCTCATCGAGGTCGGGCATCAGCATGGTCAGCACGTTGTTGGCGTCTCCCACAATAATACTGTCAAAAGCAAGGCCCATGAAGCCGTCGGTAGGCATGTTGTTCCAGTCGGAATAGTAGATGCTGAGGAAGGGCTGGCGCCAGGTGTGGTTGTTGACCATAAACTTGTCATTCACGACATCACCGGCAACGTAGCCGCCCAAGTAGCCGATGTCGGCGGTCCTGTTTAGGGGGTAGCCTGTGCAGGACGCCGTCACATTGTATCCAACACGTTGATACCTGGCCGTTGTTAGTGTCTCGTGCGTCCACCTTCGGAACGAGCACCACCTACGGTGTGTTGTTGTGGCACCATTCAGCGCAGCCCTTGTCGACAACCCATGTGGTGGAGCTGCCAGTGTCGGGGTGAAGACGGTACGTCTTGGAGGGCTTTCCGATCTCGACGTCGACGCTGGACTGGGGTCTGGATTAGCAGAGTGTTCCCAGAGCCAGACTACTCGCATTGGCCTTGTTTGGCAGGCTTGAATGGGGGGACTTACATAGCTGTTGTAGTAAGTGATTGGCAAGTCCACAGAGACGGCGGAAGTCAGCTGAGGGATCGCGGCGGCGGCCACTGCCAGGAGCATAGACGGAGGTGCCATTTTTCAGAAGGTGGTTGTGATGATATGAGTCCGGCGTCAAGAAGGAGATGAACGAGTTGTTGTCAGAGCCATGGGGGGACTTCCATAGATTTTATGAGCACATTCAAGTTTTGACCCTGGTGGATCATTTCGTATTCCAAGCATCGTGATGATATCTATTCCAGGCTCCTGACTCCCAAGTCAGTGGGCTGAGTGGGGTCGTCTCCCTAGGTCAGGGGTCTATAGCTTCGGTATTGGCGATCTGGGCCGGACTTGGCACGAATACGAGCTTTCGACAATATAGTCTTCATGCCCAAGACACGGGCAAACAAGACCAGCCTCCGCCTTTTGGCGACTATGGCGATGCCGGTACCCTTGTAACTCTCTTTGCACTACAATTGGTCGCACAGCAAATTATTGCACAGCACTTGCACAGCAAATTGTTGCACAGCAAATTATTCAGCGGAAAAGGGGAGAAAGTGGCAGGCAAATTTGCATGGCAGAATGTCATTGTAGTCTTGGCTTGGCTTCGTTCTATTTGGAGACCTTGACGGGGCCTACCTGTCATGTTCATCGGAAACGCCGTGACTATACCTGGCGGCCGCGCAGGTGACGGGATTTTGCCAGTACGAGCTTGGATACCATCCGGAGGGACCTTCGCCTCTTTCGCCTCGTCGACTTAGCTAGGTATAAGTAGTAGCAACGGCTGCCCCTCGACGAAGCCTACGTTACGACCAGATCGAGAGATCAGCTAGGTGCCGCGCCGGAAGATATTGGCGGGTGCTGATTGAAGGAAGGAGCTTTTATTGTGAGGGGCTTGCGTGGGATCAATCCGACGTTCCGAATAGGACGATGCCGAAAATGATCTAGCTCCTGGATCAGAATCGTTGCGACCGTTCTGATTGCAAGGAGAGAATCATGAATCTTCCTATGTTCCTATGCCACAAATATCCTGAGGGGAACTGCAGAGCCTTGTTGGGCAAAGCCTCACGTAATCAGACGGAGAGAGGCAAGAGGCAGGCATGATCGGATGGAAGGGTGCACAGACGTGAAAGGCACCGCCACAGTGGCGCGTCCGATCGAAAGTCTTCCACACTCTTCCATGACCAGCCCAAGCTTCCCGCTTTCCAGCAAGGCAGCGAGTGAGAGACCCGCAAACTCCCTTTATTTTGAAAACCCAGAGTCTAGGCGTTTACGTATTCCGCCTCGTGCTTTTCCAGAGTCTTCTTTCTTGAGTCGTCAGAAATCTTTTGATGCACTTGCGATCATAAGACATCATATCCCACTCCTCCCTCCTGCGCGCCTGCAACCCCATCCAACTCGACAGACGAAATTCGCAGAACAAGCCCTCGATCCATCGCGCAGTTTACAGCCGGTTCTTTACAGTCAGTACTCTCCGCACCTGTGCCCCTGTCACTTCCCTCCCCAGCCTAGCCGAACAATACCTTCGCCCGAGATCAAACCATAGCCGGCTTCATGACTGTCGCCTCGACTCTACGACATTCTTAAACCCCATCAACTGGCGCTGCCAGCGACTCTTCACGACTTCTCAAGACTTGCGACTAACGGGAATTTCCCTGCTGTAGACCCCTCCATCCCACCCCTCCGACTGCCCCAGTCAATCTCCGGATTCCCCGCCAACCCTCTCCGATAAGCACCCTTTAGCCCCGCGACAAGATGGTTAAAGAAACCAAGTACTACGATGTTCTCGGCGTATGTGTTCCTCTATCGTTTACAACACGGCATCGAAAAGAAGAAAAAGAAAAAAAAGGACTTACATAAGTATAGGTTGCGCCTACCGCCACTGAGCAAGAGCTCAAGAAGGCTTACAAGACGGGCGCCTTGAAGTATCACCCTGGTATGTGCCTCCCATCGCCTTGCCATCACGTCAGGCCGCAACTAACAGATGTCACCTTCAGATAAGAACGCACACAACCCTGCTGCCGAGGACAAGTTCAAGGAAATCTCACACGCCTACGAAATTCTCTCCGACTCCCAGAAGCGCAGCATCTACGACCAGTACGGCGAGGCCGGTCTCGAGGGAGGTGCCGGCGGCGGCGGCATGGCCGCTGAGGACCTGTTCGCTCAGTTCTTCGGCGGCGGTGGCGGTGGCCTCGGCGGCATGTTTGGCGGTGGCATGCAGAACCGTGGCCCTCCTAAGGCCCGCACCATCCACCACACTCACAAGGTCTCGCTCGAGGACATCTACCGCGGCAAGATCTCCAAGCTCGCCCTCCAGCGCTCCATCATCTGCCCCAAGTGCGAAGGCCGCGGCGGCAAGGAGGGCGCCGTCAAGCGTTGCGCCGGCTGTGACGGCCACGGTATGAAGACCATGATGCGCCAGATGGGTCCCATGATCCAGCGATTCCAGACTGTCTGCCCCGACTGCAGTGGCGAGGGAGAGACCATCAACGCGAAGGACCGTTGCAAGCACTGCAGCGGTAAGAAGACTGTCGTCGACCGCAAGGTTCTCCACGTTCACGTCGATCGCGGTGTTAGGAGCGGCAAGAAGGTTGAGTTCCGTGGCGAGGGTGACCAGGCGCCTGGCATTCAGGCTGGCGATGTCGTCTTCGAGATCGAGCAGAAGCCCCACGCGCGCTTCACTCGCAAGGAGGACGATCTACTGTATAAGGCTGAGATCGAGCTTGTGACAGCTCTGGCTGGTGGCACCATCTTCGTCGAGCACCTCGACGACAGGTGGCTGAGCATCGACATTCTGCCTGGCGAGGCTATTTGCCCTGGTATGTTTCCCCTCTAGATCTTTCCGCAAGAGCTTTTCGCTGACTGGGTGTGATTACAGATGCTGTCAAGATGGTCCGCGGCCAGGGTATGCCCTCTGAGAGGCACCACGACCACGGCAACATGTACATCCAGTTCAGCGTCAAGTTCCCCGAGAAGAACTGGATGCAGGATGAGGCTTCATTCGAGGCCCTTCGCAAGCTGCTTCCCGCACCCAGCCTCCAGACTGTCCCGCCTCCCGATGGCATGACCGAGCCCGCAGATCTTGAGGACATTGAGACGCAATCCCAGGCTCGCGTCTTTGGCGGCGGCGCTGGCGGCGGTTCCATGGAGGAGGATGACGAGGACGGCCACCCCCACGGTGAGCGCGTCCAGTGCGCTTCTCAGTAAACTGTGTCGTTTTCCCAGGCGATTTTTTTACAAGAGAGAGAGGGGGGACGTCTTCGGCTCGCGAGGACACACGACAGTGAGCGCAGCTTGTCTGCGAGACGACCTGCACGCTGCGGGCGATGTTGCATGATACCTTGATCGCGGAGCGTTGGGGAACGGGGTAGAGAAGCTGCGACGATTGCATTGCATGAACAGGGTTCAGGACGTGCCCAGGCGATACCGATGCGGCTTGGAAGGCCCTGAAATTTCTTGTGCGCTTTCGCGCGTATACTTAGGAGACGGGGCAGCAATCCGCGAGAGGCTTGCGGTGTTGTCCCGTCTTGTGTCGCCGGGCGCGCATAACGCCCGATGTCTTAATGATTCGGCTGTTTTCGCTCGACATCAGTCGACACATGGTTCGGGAGCGGCGTTTAGAGGCATAGATGATACGAAATGAACAGTGAATTCTCTCCAGGAAGAAAATGATACCTCCCACAGATTTCGTGAATCTTAGTACTTTTGTTTGGTGACACCTGGATGGCTCACGCGAGTCGTCGCGTTCCTGGATCGACCTATTAGCGCAGCTCGGCATCACTCAAGGGCGCCGATGCGACCCCCGACTCAAACCCCTCACTCGTGCTGTCATATGAGCTAAGGGCGGTCCTTCAGCAGGAACATCCTGCCGCAAACAGTCGTCACGTGAATTGACCAAGGGCAGGCAGGTTTGCTGGAAATCAAGTCAGCTTGCTATCTGAGCTATGACCCCGTGCCCTTGTCCTCCTGTCCGTTCTTCCCTTCTTCAGCAGCTTCATCACCGTCAAAGTCGTGCTTGCGCAAGTCTTCCACGCTGTAGAGAAGCTTTCGCACCTCGGCCTGGGATACTTCGGCCTCGGCAGCAGTCACCTCGTCGTCCTGCAGCTTGAAGGACTCGGCGGTGACTGAGCCGCCTGCCAGTGAGAGAGAGAGCGTCTCAACGGGCTCCGTGGACTCGCCGGGATCCAGGGCGACGATGACGCGGGCTGGCACGCCATCGTGCCCAGAGATGTGAGCGATGTGAAGCGGGTTGCCGTTTGTGGGGATGAGACTGTGGTACTTGAAGATGGACTCGGAGTCCGTCTGGAAGATGATGATCGCGGGAACTCTGCCATGCCTCGGTTAGCGTGTTGCGCTTGTGAATCAGAGGCAGAAGAGCTTTGGACGACGTACCCTTCACACGTGATGAAGATCAAAGACGAAGGAGTGTTCTCTCCGGCAAGGGTCACAGGAACAGAGGTCAGCTGTGAGACGGCCAGCTTGGTCGGCGCTTCACCTGCCACGGCCTGCGCGACGTACGGCAGCAGGTCGATCTTGGCCAGGAGCTCAGAGGCCTCCCAGTCCCAAGCACAGAGTTCATTGTCACCACCCCCTGAGATGAGCACGTCCGGGCGGGTTGGCGGTATCGTCAAGGCGCTGACAAAGTGCGTGTGGCCGAGACAGTATCCCTCAATGACGTGCGCCTGTGGCACGTACCTGGACAAGCGGATATGTTCGTCGCGGTCTGCGGTGACGATGTACCTTCGCTCGCCCTTCTGCGCCAGGATCATGGCCGTCAAGAGCGAGACGTGTCCGATGATGAGGCTATGCTCAAACTTGACCTTCTCGGCTTGGTGAGCCTCGTTCAGCGCGTGCGCCTTGGCTGCATGGCTCTGCTGCTGCTGCAGGGCTTCAAGGTTGCGACGGGAGTGGACGGTCAGGTTGGTGCCTTGGGGTTTCCATTCTTTCGAGGACTCTGGGACTGGGGTTGTGGATGCGGGTTGGGGCTCTTCAGTCGCAGCGGACGGCACACCGAGCAGAGGAAGCGTGTAAACGTCGCCAAACTTGTCAGCGCTGAGAATGAGCTTGTAGTCCGGGCTGATGAGCGCCGTGCAGGGGCGCTTGGGCATAGGCCTGTCGCGGGGTCAGTGCTGGATATCATGACTTGCGAGAAAGGGGGGCAAGCCAACCGTTGTGAGAACAGAGTGAGGACGCCACGGCCGTCATGTTCGAACGTCCATATTGTCTTGTCGTGTCCAGATACAGCAACAAGGTGACTGCCACTGCTGGTCACCAGCAGGTGAGAAATGAGTGGCTGCTCAACGGTCCTTCCGTAGGTGCCCCTGACATTGGGTCCTCCCTGGCGATCTTGCCTCTCCTTTTGCTTCTGCTTCCGATTCTTGAAGCCACTGCCTTTCTTCTGGTCCTCGGCCGACGGCTCGTCGACATCCATGGCCCCTTCGTCCTTGCCTGGTTGTGCATCCTGCACCTCCTGAAGCCTCTGCCTCTTGGCCGGCGGTCCATCCTGCACCTCAGCCTCAGCCGTATCCTTTAATGTTGACGTATCACCTGTGGCCTCGAGAGCTGATGCCGGATCATTGCCTTCTTGCGTGTCGGGACCAGACTTGGAGGCGTCTGCTCCAGCGCTTTTCTCAACATCAGGATGTTGCCATGTTGCGAGGTAAGTGTTGTCCTTGAGGTTGAACGAATGAATCTTGCCGCCGCGCGCAGCAAAAAGAACGTTGCCCGAGGGTTGGAGAAAACTGTAAGGGAGCTTCATCTTCTGGGCGCCGGGAGAAGTGACCACCAAAGAAATGCCAAAGATATCTGAGAGCGTCACTGAAGATCTCACTCAACTTTGATCGGGTGGGATGAACATGAGAGCCACCCCACTAAGAAAAAAGATACTTCGGGCTTGTACCTGTGGTGGGTCCACCCCCTGTCAACGCCAAGATTTCCACACGCTTTGCCCAAAGCTGACTAGTCCTCGCTTGCCCTAAGCGGGCTGACCACACTTCGACCATGTCGCAAATCCAGTTGGGCGAGAAAACTTCCAGAGCTTCTTTTGCTCCGTCAACTCTGTACTATCCATCATCGCCGGATACCCCCCCCAACTCACATCACATACCATTTGCCCTGAAACATCCTGCCTTCAAAACAAAAGAAGATATGGGGGGCAAATCTGCTAACAAGGCCGGCTACTTCGACAAGCTGAAGGGCTTGCTCGAGGAGTACAACTCCATCTTCATCGTCACCGTCGACAAGTACGTTCCAGCCACGTCTTTTTTCTTTCTTCCTGCGATGCTGTCTCGATTGCTTCCATCGAAACGCGTAGCTAACCACTCTCCAGTGTCTCCTCCCAGCAGATGCACCAGGTGCGTCACTCGCTCCGTGGCGATGCCGTTGTCCTCATGGGCAAGAACACCATGGTCCGTCGCGCCCTGAAGACCTTCATTGCCGACTCCCCCGAGTACGAGCGCCTTCTGCCCCACGTCAAGGGCAACGTTGGTTTCGTCTTCACCAACGGTGACCTCAAGGACATCCGTGACAAGGTCCTCGCCAACAAGGTCGCTGCCCCTGCTCGTGCCGGTGCCGTCGCCCCCTCCGACGTCTGGATTCCCGCCGGCAACACCGGTATGGAGCCCGGCAAGACCTCCTTCTTCCAGGCTCTTGGTGTCCCCACCAAGATTGCCCGTGGTACCATTGAAATCACCACGGACCTGAAGCTCGTCGAGGCCAACAGCAAGGTCGGTGCCTCCGAGGCCTCGCTTCTCAACCTGCTCAACATCTCTCCCTTCACCTACGGTCTCGGCATTGCCCAGGTCTACGACCAGGGACAGACCTTCCCCGCCGACGTCCTTGACATCGGTGAGGAGCAGCTCCTCAAGACCTTCGCCGGTGCCATCACCGCCATTGCCGCCATCTCCCTGGCCATCAACTTCCCCACCCTGCCCTCGGTCATCCACTCTCTTGTCAACTCCTACAAGAAGGTCCTCGCCGTCGCCATCGAGACCGAGATCTCTTGGCCCGAGATCGAGTCCCTCAAGGACCGCATCGCCAACCCCGACGCGTACGCCGCCGCTGCCCCCGCTGCCGGCTCCGGCGCCGCCGAGACCAAGGCCGAGGAGAAGGCCGAGGAGAAGGAGGAGGAGGAGTCCGACGAGGATGACGGTGGCTTCGGTGGTCTCTTGTATGCAACCCCCGTCCCAACGCGCACGACGATGTGATCATGCTAACCTGTCTCGCAGCGACTAAATGTGACGACATGATTGATGTTGGTGCGGCTATACCCGGGCGACGGTCAGGCTTACGACGTTATGTGGACCTCGGACACGACTTCATAGAGAGGCTGCGCGCTCAATTAAGCCTACCGCATTTGATGATGTGAGAAACGCGAAGCTCCACGAAGATTTTGGTGACTATGTATGTGCGTTTGCCAACGCGGTACATTTGTCTGTTAGCAAAAGGTCAGTTCGCTCTCTTTCATTGTTCTCTCGCAACACCACCGCTTCAACAGCGCCGCCTCCCGAAGATTATACACAGATACAGAGCTTTTTAACCCTGATCTACTTGATGACTCTTATCCCAACAACAACAACATTGTATGAGGGATGGCCTCTTTCTGCCTTTTATTATTCTGAATGCTTTTTATTGGTATCAACGAGGCTAACAATTATTCAAGATGCAGGCTAGAATATCCACTGAATGACCTCTTATCCTATGCTTTTCGTGCCAACGCCCTGCGCTCCGTCATGTCCTGTACCGCAGTATTCTGTTATTACAACTTCGTAGTTCTGTCGCCCGATACCTCACCCAAGACGTCACCCGCGACTTGGATCGCTGATGCGGGCAGCCCAGCAAGCCGTGCAACCTTGAGCGCATGGCTCTGCCGGTTCACCCCCTTCCGTAGCTTGTGCACGTAGACGAACCCCCCCGACTCATCCTCCTCGACGTCAGTGCAGTACGTCTCCACACGACCTGCGTCGCGCCCATCCCCCTCTCCCCTACCACAGAGGCCCTGCGCCGCCGCAAGGTCCGCCACGGCGTGAAAGTGCGTCGCGAACAGCGCGCGGCACCGGTTCACCGTGACGAGGTGATGCAGGCTCGCAAACGCCACGGCGGCTCCATCCTCGGGCGTCGTGCCGCGGCCAATCTCGTCCATGATGACGAGGGACCTCGGCGTCGCGGCGCGCAGAATGTGCGCCGTCTCGAGCATCTCGACCATGAAGGTGCTCTGGTCGCGGTAGAGGTTGTCGGCGGAGCCGACGCGGCTGAAGAGGGCGTCGACGAGGCCGAGCTCGGCGTGCGCGGCGGGCACGTAGCAGCCGGTCTGGGCGAGGACGGTGATGAGGGCGTTCTGGCGGAGAAAGGTGCTCTTGCCGGCCATGTTGGGCCCCGTGATGAGCCAGAGCGGTGCGTGGGCGGGCGCGGGGCCGAGGAGGCAATCGTTGCGGACGAAGGAGCGGCCGCGCTCGGTGAGGCCGCCCTCGACGGTGGGGTGGCGGCCCCCGAGGATCGTCGTCGTCGTGGAGTGATTGAGGCGGGGCCGGGTGAGGCCTTGGTCGCGTGCGAGCAGGGCGAGGGATGTGGCAATGTCCAGCTCGTCGAGGACCGCGGCGTTGCGGCGGAGCTTGACGAGATTGAGGATGACACGCTCGCGGAGGGCTTGGAAAACACGCTGCTCTTCGGAACGGATGGCAAGTCTCGCAGAGTCGAGGCGCTGGCCCAGCGTTGTCCACTCGGGGAGGTGGAATGACCGCGTCGAGCGGCTGGCGCTGATGGGCCTGGCCGTCGAGTCTTCGGCAAGGGCTCGGGCATCTTTTCCTTTGACGTGGCAGATGTGACCGAGTCCAGGCGTCCAGCGGAGGGTAAGGCTTGGGGCAGCGTGCTGCTCCCGGAGGCTCTCCAATAGAGTGTCCTTGGCTGCGTGGAGACTGGTGAGCTCGGCATGGAGACGCTCGAGCCGGGGGCTTGCCGACGGTTTCATGACCCAGGCTTCGTTATCGTCGGCATAGTACTCGCGAACCGATGTCGGGCGTGCTTTGCCAGGCTTTTTGGCCGTAGTTTTGGGTATGACGGCTGCTGCATCGTCTTGGGACCCTTCAGCGTGAACAATCTCCTGAGCAAGGGCCATCATATGACCAGCTTCGCCATCCTCGATCTCGTGCTGGTGAACGATGCCTTCTTCATCGATAGCCTCCTGAATGCGGCGCGCAAGCTCTGTGGGTTTCTTGAGGTCTAGACGGGCGATGACGGCGGCCAGACAGCTGGCAGTAGCGCCCGTCTTTGCTGCCTTGCTGAGCCTCGTCGCGATATCGTTGCATGCTTGCACAGTGCTTCCCAGGGCGAGCAGGTCATCTGGGTCACCCCGCCCGAGGGCAAATTTCTGGACCAAACGTTGAGAGTCATGACTGCGGCGAAGCAAGAGGATGACGGTATCACGAAGGTCCGCTTTCTCTATGAAACATGTGACGAGATCCAGCCTCGCCTCGATGACTTCTAATGAGGTGGACGGCGCGCTGAGCCACTCATTCAGTAGTCGAGCACCACTTTTCGTAACGGTGCGCCTGATGGCATGGAGGAGGCTACCGCGGAAATACCCATCCCGGATGGTCTGTTTGATCTCGAGGGCGCGCATTGTGTTCTTGTCAATGCTCATGACACTCATCGTCCCATGGCGCACCGGTGGCTGTAACTTCAGACTCAGTCCCTGAAGGCGCTCGCCGACGTAATGAAGCAAAAGGCTGCCCGCTGCGACTTCCTCGCTCGTGAAGGCAGCTCTCCTGTCTTCTGGCACCTCCGACTCGAGCATGGGCGCCCAGTCAGCGAGGCCTGTCGCCTCCCCTGGCGGATGATAGGTGATCAGATGCCGATCTTCGGCGAGGATGGAGACAACATCATGGTCTTTGGATGACTGGAGTGCTTGGTCGAGAACCACTTCTTTTGGTGATATGCGTGAAAGAACAGATGGAAGAGCCGACACATTGGCCGCTTCGGTGAAGAACTGGCCGGTGGACAAATCCAGCCACGCGAGTCCCAGACAAGTCGACGGCGGGCTAGCACCAAGGGCATCACGTCCAGCGGCAACGCTGCTCGTTTGAACAGTCGCAGTGCCAGAAGGCGAAGGCGCATGTATGGCAAGCACATAATTGTTGACATATGGGTCCATGAAGTTCTCGTCGATTAGCGTGCCGGGTGTAATGATGCGGGCCACGCGCCGGTCATGCATCAGGCCACCAGACTTGATCTTATCCGCTGCATTCTTCGGAAACTCCTCGGCCACGGCGACGTAGCGATTCAGGTCCTGGACGAGAATCTTGAGGAAGCGTTCCAGCTGGAAGAAGGGGAAGCCGGCCATGGACACGGGGCCGGCCGTCGTCTTCTTCTGGGCCACCTTGAGGTTGAGGAGGGGCCCGTACTCGTCAGCGTGCTCAAAGTAGAGCTCGTAGAAGCCGCCAACCCGCGTCAGCAGGACGCAGTTGTCAAACTTTTGCATGTTGCGCCGCGCTTGTAGCAAAACGGTGGGATAGGCCGGGCCATCGTCACTGTCAGGGGCTGCTTCAGCAGCAGCCTGCTGTTGTGCTGGCCCATGAGTGGAAACCAATGGTGGGGGCTCGAACGAGATGACGCCTTGCGGAAGGTCTTCGAGTCTCACGGTCGTCTTGGTCTTCTTTCCCCGTGTCGTCATCTGAAGGTGCCAACCAGACACGCGCCGGCCCATGGTATGTGCCGGTGCACAGCGGCCATGGCGGAGCGATGTGGAGAGCAGTCTCGGGCTGAAAAGGGGCACCAATGCATCACACTGGGTGAGGGTGGTGAGAGGTCGAGCCAACATGAAGAGACACCATGAATGGCATGAATTGGAAGGAAAGGTATATGGTCGATGGGGTGGTGTGTTCCACGCTGTTGGCGCGTGCTTCGGCTCGTCAGCGAAGAGATGGAAATGCAAGTTGATGCAAACTCATCTACTATTGATAGAGACGAACAGGGGCCTGTTGCATGTTGAGATCGTGAGCCAGATGAGTAATGTACTGTGCTCGAAGACTAGGACACTGTATTTATGGCCACTGAGCCCCCGGGTTTTGTGCACTCCACCATCTTCTGGCTGCTCTCTACTGCAGACCACACGGTGCACCAGGACAGTGCGTGGACAACCCTATCAGGCACCCAGCAACGGAGGAGCCCGGAACGGCCCTGTAGGTTCCGAGGCCCCTGCATCTTTCCTCATGATCGACTCAGGACCACGAGATGGGAACGAGCAGTCATGCGCCCATGACGAAAGGCCGTTGTTCCCAATGGCAGCAGAAAGCAAAAAGACCGTTTCGGAAACCAGATGATGCCGGCGGAAGATGCAAAGCTTGTCAGTGCGAGGGGACGCCCCCGGCAGGCAAGCTGATAAGCTGATGGCCCGACAAGTTCTCGTCCTGTTTCCGTGTACGACGTTGCTTCGCCGTCAGCTGTCAGCTGAAGATCATCATGATCTGTTCACGATCGATCGGCGAGCCAAGACGCGTCAAACATGATGGTTCGAATCCCAGAAGTGCGAGAGTGGTGCGCGGTTGGCGACATCGAGCAGACAGACCACCGAATGCTGCCAGCCTGCCAGCCGGGTGTTGGCTTGCCCTCTCTCTCTTTTTCTTTCTCTCTCCTCTCTACACCACAGAAAGAATCCCGAGAAAGAATCCTGCATCATGGACCCAACAAACAACGTTCGCCTGTTCATGCACCAGCTGCTGTGTTCCGACATCACCTGCATCTTCAAACTATAATACGTGTCGTACAAGGCTCTCCTCATGCCGTCAATACCATCCCAAATGCGAGACCATTGCCGTCGTTCCATCCGTTAGTGCAGCTGCCCACAAACCCAGGATCTCCCCTCGAGTGTGACCACTTTGACGATGGACCGCCGACAACAACGGACTGGACTGCCAGCTGGCCAGATCGCAGACAACAGGGGGCAACACGGTGGCAACTGGTATCAGCAGAGAATGCGGACGCCTTGGGCGAAAAGGGCGGGCTCTGCGGGCTTGAAGAGGTCAGAGTGAGCGAAGAGTGGCACGTAGTGGCCCTCGGCATCGGCCGATTCTGCGCTCGCGTCAGCCCATTCTGCAACGATTCCGTCGTCGCTCCGCACCCGAATCGCCAGACCCTCATCGACCCTTGGCCCCAGAGCCCCCAGGGAAACGTACGGGATGCTTACCCGCCTGTCACCACCATGTCACCCTTTCCATTTCAAATCGTCCGTTGGCTACGTGCTGCGTCTGTCGGCCGCTGCCCCTGGGCCCGCCGTCTCTCTCTCCCTTTCCCGTTTACAAAAGACATAGCTCGCGACATCTTCGTCTCCAGCTGCTGCTGCTGCTTCCCCTCCGCCCCGCAGCCCAACGTACCGCAACGCAACACTGCAACACACCACACGACTACAGTACTGCAGCCTACATCACTGCAGTAGAAACAGCAAAAAGCAACGCAACGGAACATAGTGCCCGAAGTCACAGAGTCCGTACGAACGCAAAGATTTCGTACCCGCCATCCTTGGCAGTTCTGAACATCGAGGTGTCAGTCCAAGAAGGCCACCCACCCACTGAATTACACACAACATGATGGCGGCTCGTAGACCCGTACAGAGCAACCCCCTGATTCCCGTCACCCCACCCCCTGAGCAGACTTCCTTTCAGCAACCACACATCACATTCTCAAACGCGCATCTCAAACGGAAGGCACAGCCGGAGATCCAGGCACTCCTCAACGGTGCCAAGACGGCTGCCCCGAGAACATGTTCCATCCCCACACCAGCGAGGACGGAGACGCCGCCTTCGACGATGGCATCCCAGCACGGCAGCACAAAGCCGACTGCCGGCGCCGCCACCGCGCACCTGCTGAACCCGGTCTCCGGCCAACCTATGGATCCTCGCTACATCGACATGGTCTCGCGCATCGCAGCATACTACCAGCAGAGGTGCCAGGCCATCTCGAACGCACAGCAGCAGCGGTGTCAAGCATGGGCCAATATGCACCGCCAAAAGTGTCAGGACACCATGCAGGCCGCGATGCTGGTTGTCGCGTGGTACGTCCGAGACCGCATCCAGCGACGGCGCCGCCGTCAGAAGCGCTCCTTCCGTGCCGGTCTCCGCGCCCGCGAATCACGGTCTCGTGTTACAAAGGGCGAGCATGTCCGGCGCTGGGTGACGCAGGTGCCGGAAAATGTCGTGGCACCCCAGGAACAGTCGCGGGACGATCTGGTCGATCAGGAGGAGGCTTCCTTCTCCATAGATCGCGAGTTGGCCTCCGATCAAGATGCGAAGCTCTTCGAGACGGCGGACCGGCTGATCAGGAGCCAGTATCGAAAGGTCGATGTGCCCATGCTCGGCCTCATGTCGTTTGACATGAGTGACAGCGACAGCGACAGCGACGGTGACGCCGACGACAGAGTGCGTCGTAGTGCGCCCTCGTTCGAAGAAATCGAAGAGGACGACGAGGAGCTGGACTACGACGACGATGACGAAGACGAGGAGCTGCTCGAGAACGATGATGTGATCGATGGCTCGGGCCAGGGGTCGGGATCGCAGGATGTGCAGCATGACACGACAGCCGCGACGGGAGGTGGCAGCGGCACCAACGGGAGGAGCAGCTCATCTTCTTGATAGAACGGTACACACAGGATGATGTCCTTAACACTGAGGAGAAAGGGCAACGGAGCATCAACGGCGCATGGGTTTGGTTTTGAGGATGACTGGTCATGATTGATTACGGTGTTAATGGAAGTGAATGAACATACCCCTTTTCCTGTTTGATACTCCGTTGCCCGGCTTGACTTGTGGTCTTCGCCATTCTTCGGCATCTTCTATGGCGGGCCAATCGTGATCGAATTACTCTTTCCCAGGCGACCATCTTGGCCTGCCCTGGACTAGCTACCAAAGTCAGAGCTTCGTGACGATACATGCCTTGTCGATGCTGCCACGGAAGGTGCAGCTCAACCCCAAGGTACCTATGTATGGCATGGCTAGGCGAGAGGCGTCAGTGAGCCGGAGCAGCAGTACACATCGGTGAAGAGAGAGAGAGAGCGATTCGCATGCAGGAGATCAGATGCCGGGAGCAGCCGGACGTGGCGCCTGCCTTCCACAGCACATCGAGCTGTACTTACACGCAAAATGGCACCATCCCATCAATCATCCGCTTGCTCTAGCTTGCATATGTTCGTTCCTTGCTGGATCCACACCTTTTGTTGTCTGTCGCTGGATGCGCTTAACTTCGCAATTTTCTTGTGAACTGCCTCAGGTGAAGAGTCGGCTTTGAGCAAGCAATCAGTGAGTGAACTTTATGATCAATAAACTCGATAGTACCAAACGATCGAGCCCCCTGGGCATCACGTCGGTCGTCGAGCTCGGCGAAGAAGATGCGTCCTATGTACGAGGACTTGTGAAGCAGCTGCAGCGGAGCTTCAGCCGAATGGCAGGCTCAAGTATGCCTCTGGCTTTCTCCTGCCTTGGTGCGGTATCATTGACATGTCTTCTTCAGCTACTGGTCGATGCTGACGGCTCAGCATTTCTTTCTCCCTCATAAGCATCTCTCAACCTTTGAAATACCCCCAAAGAGCCCTCTTTGATTTCCTCTCCTCGCCCATCCAACCCGTTACCATCGCACCACTGTTCTTTGGAATCATCCCCCATCCGGTGGGCGTCTTTATCGGCCAAGACCATCATTTCCTTACATCCTGTGCTTCAAAGTCAAACACCCTCTTTCAGGGATCCAGTGGTGGAGGCCAGGCCTTTTTGAACAAGAGCCAACTCTGCTGGGCTGATCATCGTTCGCCCAACCTACTACATTTAGATCCCCGCCTGGTCACCGCTTCTTCCACGGCCGGCGACAAGGCTGGGATTCTTGTCAGGTTTCCATTCAACACCAAACAAGACAGGCGCATGCTGGCGCATTCCGGCGCATTCCGGCGCATTCTTGGAGATATCGTCAAAAGCAGTTCATCATGAGGTATGTTGTTCGCCTTTGCCCATCTGCCATGCCAACACACTCGGCGGAGCATCACGAAGCTGCCGCTGTCTCCGAGGATGCGAGCGTCTCCACACCAACCACGTCTCCCCCGCACTCTGAGCCCCCCTAGCCCCACCGCCCCTCTACAATCCTCCCTTCTCCGCCCAAGAGCCGTACCTGTACCTTGTCGTTTAGCGCTCTGGCGACGGGGTGAGGGGTAGTGATACTGCTCTGATCAGCACAGGTGACGCAGGGGCGTGGACGAGGCCCCTCAGGAGCTCAGGAGCTCTGAAGCGGTGGTGGAGTGGGCCGTTGCCGTTTAGAGCTTCGAGTCTGATCGGGTGGCTTTGTCTTCGTCGGCTCACTTGACTTGACCCTGAACCTATCTATCTCCGCAACCCTTCGTTCTCCATCCATCTCCGATCGCTTCCTGCCAGACTACTTATCGGGAGTTTCCGAACTGACGCTTGTCTTCTGTTTTACAGCGCCAAAGTCCCCGACGAGACCACAGGTCTGGCCTCGCAAAGCACAACCCCGTCCAACGATAACAACACTACCTCTGCCGCCTCGTTGCCAACCATTGGCAGCCTATCCGTCGCTGCTCTTCATCGTCATCGAAACATCAATAATCGCTCCGCACCCCCCGAATCTGATCACATCACTATGGGTGGCGGACGTCAGGTCAAGAGCAAGAGCTCTTACCCCACCCTCGCCCAGCGCCCCGTCGGCCAGCACATATCCAAGATCTACAAGGACAGAATTAAGGTCTTCTACTCCACCGGTCAGTATGAGAAGCAGAACCTCTTGTCACTCATGAACGAGGCCGTCGCCTCTGGTGAGCCCAGCGTCAAGCTCTCGACATGGGCCGCCCCCGACCTCGAGCGCACCCCTTGGCGGGACGCTGTCAAGAACAAGTTCACCAAGACCAAAGTCGGCGAGTCGTTCGGGCCTTCGTGGTCGACACACTGGTTCAAGGTCCAGCTCACCGTGCCCGAGGACATGCTGGACAAGGAGCGGCTTGAGCTGCACTGGGATGGGTCCAACGAGGGCGCCGTGTACGACAAGGATGGCAACATCCAGCAAGGCCTGACGGGTGATGGCGAGCGTATCGAGTGGATCATTCCCGATGCCTTCCGCGACGGCAAGGAACATATAATCTACGTCGAGATGGCCTGCAATGGCATGTTTGGCAACCCCCGCGGCGACACCATTCAGCCTCCCAACCCTGACAAGCAGTTTGTCTTGAAGAAAGCCGAGATTGTCGCCGTCAACCTCGACGCTCGTATGCTGCACATTGACATCTGGATCATTGGCGATGCAGCCCGCGAGTTTCCCGAAGAGAGCTGGGAACAGCACAGGGCACTCAACGTTGCCAATGCCATCATAGACACCTTTGACAAGGGCCCGAAGAACAGGGACACGCTCAAAAAGTGCCGTGCGATTGCGCGCCAGTACCTCGGCGACAAGGTCGACTCGCACGAGGTCTACAGCTCCGACAAGGACATCCAGGTCTACGGCATCGGTCACTGCCACATTGACAGCTGCTGGCTCTGGCCCTGGGACGAGACCAAGCGCAAGGTCGCCCGCTCCTGGTCCAACCAGTGCACGCTCATGGACCAGTATCCCGAGCTGAACTTTGCCTGCTCCCAGGCTCAGCAGTACAAGTGGCTCAAGACCCTCTACCCCTACGCCTGGGACCGTGTCAAGAGCAAGGTCAAATCCGGCCAGTTCCAGCCCATCGGCGGCAGCTGGGTCGAGCACGATACCAACATGCCCAGCGGAGAATCTCTCGTTCGCCAGTTCCTCTACGGCCAACGCTTCTTCGAGAACAACTTTGGGGAGCGCTGCCAGACGTTCTGGCTCCCCGACACCTTTGGCTACTCGGCACAGCTTCCCCAACTCTGCCGGCTCGCCGGCATGGAGCGCTTCCTGACCCAGAAACTGAGCTGGAACAACATCAACAAGTTCCCGCACACAACCTTCAACTGGGTCGCCCTGGATGGGAGCCAAGTCATCTGCCACATGCCTCCGGCCGAGACATACACCGCCGAGGCGCACTTGGGCGACGTGAAGCGCAGTGTCTCGCAGCACAAGTCCATGGACCAGGACCACACCTCGCTGCTCGTCTTTGGCAAGGGAGACGGCGGTGGTGGCCCGACCTGGACCCAACTCGAGAAGCTTCGTCGCTGCCGCGGCATGGCTGACCAGGTTGGCATGCTGCCTAGGGTGCACATGGGCAACAGCGTCGAGGACTTCTTCGACAAGCTGCAGAAGAAGGCCACCTCGTTCGTCACATGGTACGGAGAACTGTACTTTGAACTCCACCGCGGTACCTATACCACACAGGCCAACAACAAGGCGAAGAACCGCAAGTCTGAAGTCATCATGCGCAATATTGAGTGGCTCGCCACCATAGCATCCCTGAAGGACAGCTCATACAAGTATCCCAAGGCTGCCATTGATGAGATGTGGGAGGCCATTCTGCTCTGTCAGTTCCACGACTGTCTTCCCGGCAGCTCAATTGAGATGTGCTACGATGACTCCGACAAGGTATGTTCTCTCCGTCCACCACGGGTTGTTTCTTGTTCTCACAGCAAGCCTCAGATGTACGCGCGTGTCTTTGAACTCAACGAGCAGTTGCTCAAGGATGTGCACAAGGTCCTGGGCGTTTCCGATGCCAAGGCGCCCCTCGCACAGTCGGTCGCCATCAACACGCTGCCCTGGCACCGCAAGGAGCTCGTTGAGATATCAGAGACAGAGGTTGGCGTCGCCTGTGGCGATGGCCAGATGCTCGCACTTCGTGCCTTCAAGAGCGGTGAGGAACCGGCAGTCACGATTGAGCAGGTTGACAAGGATGTTTTTGTTCTGCAAAATGACCACCTCCGCATCCAAGTCGAGCATGGCTGTATCGTCTCCATCTACGACCGTGTCGCCAAGCGCGAGGTCGTCGAGAAGGGCGGCAAGGCCAACCAGTATGTCATTTTCGATGACAAGCCTCTGTACTGGCAGGCTTGGGATGTCGAGGTTTTCCACCTCGACACGCGCCAGGAGCTGCCCTGCGGTGAGACGAGCATCACAGAACAAAAGGCCCATCGTGTCGGTCTCACGACGACGACGAAAATCAGTGAGAACAGCTCCCTCAAGTCGACCATCTTCCTTTCTGCCGCACTCAAGGGTGTGCCGTCGGCGATTGAGTTCCAGGCCGAGGTCGACTGGCATGAGACTATGAAGTTCCTCAAGGTCGAGTTCCCCGTGAACGTTCGCAACACGGAGGCATCCTACGAAACAGCGTACGGTATCGTGAAGCGCCCGACGCACTACAACACCAGCTGGGACATGGCCAAATTTGAAGTCTGCTGCCATCGTTTTGCCGACCTCTCGGAGTACGGCTATGGCGTTTCTGTAATCAACGACAGCAAATACGGCTTCGCCACCTGCGGTAGCACCATGCGCCTGTCCCTCCTTCGCTCGGCCAAGGCCCCCGATGAGCATGCCGATATGGGCAAGCACACCATTCGCTGGGCGCTGCTGCCGCACGAGGGCGAGCTTGGGCCCACGACCATCCGGGCCGCCCACGCCTTCAACAACAGACTGGCTGTGGTGTCCGCTCCCGCCGTCACAGCTGCGATGACGTCGAGCCCCATCAAGCTGTCGGGCGATGCAAGCCTCGTGCTCGACACGGTCAAGCGTGGCGAGGACGATGAGGACCTGGCCCACGGCGACCAGGATGTCGGCGGCCACCTACAGAAGCGCAAGGGCCAGAGCGTCGTGCTGCGCGTCTACGACTCGATGGGCGGACGCGGCCGCGGTACCATCAAATCGAGCTGGGACATCAAGCGTGCCTTCAAGTGCAACCTGCTGGAGGACGACTTGGAGGAGCTCGAGGTGCGCGACAACTCGGAGATTGACATTGAGCTGCGGTCGTTTGAGGTGGCTTCGTTCCGTCTCCAGTTCTAGGAGGATGACATGTGTGGCTGCGATGAGCCTGATACTGCTGGAGGTGTGAGTTATATCGGGTGAGTGGGTACGCCGGGATGGACACCTATGAACTACGGTCACGAAAACATTGCCTCGCTACCTTGGTTCCCTCGTACTCTGCCCGAGCTGCCCGTTGGTTTGGAGGACTATCACGATGCGAACGCAAAGCAAAGCCTAATGTATGAGTATGAGGGGAAACGGAACCCAGAATGAACCTGAAGAGATTCCTTTGTTTAGATTTTCGCAAAAGTGCTTCATATCTCGTGACGTGACGACGAACATGGGATTTTCTTCTTGATCGTCAGCAACCGGGGTACTTCTACGCTGCTCGGTCGGAGTGTGCGTTCATCAGCCTATACCTAGATGGTAAGGGCCAGCGATGACACGATGGTGTTACAGTGGGGGTTTCCGGAGTGTGTGTGCCTAACTGGGGAGGTCATCCATCCCCAACACTACAGACAAAAAGGCTACAGACGGCAATGTGAAGAGAGACGGGGAGAGAGAGAGAGAGAGAGAGAGAGAGAGAGAGAGAGAGAGAGAGAGAGAGAGAG